CGTTTCTCCGCCCCTCCTTTCCCATTTACGGCGGCCGTCTTTTCACGCGACGCGCCAGGCTTTCTCCGTATAGAGGAGGCTATGACTGGGCACATGGTTCCCCCCCCCCCCCCCCCCCCCTTTTTTTTTTATATACCGTTTTTGTGCGCAGGGTTTACTCGCCCGTACGGAATATATTGCGATAGGCGCCGATTTTATCCGAAAGAACTAAACTTCGATCTATTGCGCCGAATCACGAAAAAAAAAAAAATCTGAACTTTGAAAGCCACCTAAATATAAATGACGCTGATGTTTCCAACGAAATAGCTATAACGTGCAAATTTGGGGGTTTTACGTGCTAAACAGACGACGGGCATCTGGCACGCCCCAGCGGAGGACTGAGGATTACTTTGGACCACCTGGGGATCTTTTGACCAGCAACGGAAAGCTCGGTTACACGGCGCCTCCTTCGCAATAAGCCTCCGTCAGATTGCGGGCACCTCGGCCGGGATTCGAACCCGCCACATCGCTCTCGCCTCGGAGCCACCGAGGCGGCTAGCTCTAACGTGCCGACCTGAATCTACAAAGCAAAAAGTACCCATCAGTACACCCCTGAAAATTTTTATCTGAAGTACAGTTATTCCCGTAGCAAAAAAAAAAGAAAAAAAAAAAGCGGTTTTGGCTTTATTGAATTGGGTTTATTCACGAAAATAAAACACAGTTAAACATTCTTTTTCCTTTGCACCTAAAAGAAAAACAAAAAAACGAAAAAAACTTCGAGGACGTTAAAGCTTCGCCTTTAAGAGTGGAATGCGATAGTGTTATCGGGTCCCGTTCGCAAAGCCTTCTCATATAGTAAACGTGTGCTTCTTGCCAAGTAGTGCACGCGCCTGCGCGCGGCCTAGCAACACCGCCTAGAAGACAAGGCCGTAGTACTGACATTTTTGTCCCAAACCAGACTGTTGCGTCACCAGCAGTGCTGGTGACGCAATAGTCTGGTTGGGATACGCGTGTCAAAAAATTAATTGCACGCGAAAAAAAAAAACATTAGAGCAATATTGACGGCGCGAGTCGCGATTAGTCGGCAGTCACCTTCTTTCCACTTGTTTCCTCTCTCGGCATTTCGGGCGCGTAGAGGAGAGGTGGATCGGCTTTCGCCTTCACGACCGAGATGGTCATTCCGGAATGACCCGTGACGTCATGGGCTTCGCGCGCAGAATTTCGAATAAATCTCTCGCCGTCAATATTGCTCTAAAAGTTTTTTTTTTCGCGTAAAATTTATTTTATGACACGCGTGTCACAACCAGACAGTTACAAGAAAAAGCACGGAGAAGCAGCTTATCTTTAAACAACATATTCGCATGCATCCAATCGCTGACTCAGCCTCATACATGCGTCAGATACACGCCCCAATAATTTATGTTGTACGCGTGAGTTTATTTCTCAACTTCACCGCTAGGGGCGCGACGGTTGGATGTACTCCTCCAAGGGGTCTTCGACCTCCCGTTGAAATCCGTGGGGGGCCTGAGATCCCCCGAGACCCGGTAACCTGCGAAGAGCGACGCTGGACACAGATTGGAAACGAATGCTGCGTCATTGTTCAGCTACGAGTCATGTTTGAGCATAGCCTTTTCTATACTAACAAAGCCTGACAGAATACCACGAGAAGCGGCTGCCGAAATTGAAAGGGTAGAGCGGCAGAAAACGGATGAGAGGAGAGCCACGTGACAGGCGCCCCGCTGCGGCGAGACGCCGAAACACACTTGTCCCGAGCCATGGAATATCCGTTCTTGCTTCTCGCCTTCCCCGCGCTACCGCTTCTTTCCTCGTCGAGTTGGAAACGAGTTATTATAATGTACGCTAGAGGTTCAGCTGGCGTTAGTGTGCTGCTGCAAATTGAAGCAGACAGCAACCAGTCCGAAATTGACTTCCGGTAATGCATTTCTATGGGAAAAAGCGAGTGCATTTTCTCTCTGCGCTCGATTTTAAGAGCAAATATCACGAATAATTCGTACGTACTAGGCACATTGGAACATTTCTTAGTCACGCAGACGAAATAATTGGTCACTTACGGCGTTTTTATTTTAAATTCGTGGCATAAAAACGGTGCTAAAACCGCTTCGTACAAGTATTTATGTGCACTGTCGGACACCATTAGCGCGAGCACGGCGTCGGCGCTTTCTAGTATGGGGGATGTGCGTGCCACACGAAGGAAGGACATCTGGAAAACCAAGAGACGGCAAGAACCTCCCAGTAACACTGGATAAGTAAACCCTTGTGCTTGTAGACGATCAAAATAAATTGAAAGCCACCTAATATAGTCCGATTTCCATTAAATAAGTACTGCTTTATCCTTTCTACTCATGTGCGAAGATGCTGGTTCTGGGTTCAAAGCATCACCCGCACGCTCCAGATCTTTCTAAATAGGGAGAAGCCAGAGAACAGGTGCCCGATAAAAGCTGCCCGCGACATATGGAATAATAAGAAGACACACCTTTTGTAGCCAACGTACTTTATTTTTTTATGTTCATATGTGTTTTTTTTTTCTTTTAACTGACCGTAAAGATTCGCACGACAGAGCCATTTTCATATAATGACAGGACGGACATATTAGCAATATATGCCACCGGAATGCTAGCGATCCTTGAACACACTCTGCATTCCTTTCGGTCGTTATTTTGCTTAGAATCGTCGCTCGTTTTTACATACCTGCCATGGAACAGAGGTTTGGGCCTGAAATATAGCCAAGTTTAACATCGTTCAGTGGTAAAGAAAAATGCTGTAACTAAAGCAATTACACTTTCACAATACCAATAAAGGTACATACTATCCGGCGAAGAGACAAAATGCACGTGCGTTTTCCCATAGGAATGCACAGGAGCACCGCAAATGAAGACTGGTTGCTGTCTGCTTCAATTTGCCTCCCGGAAGTCGCATAGACACTAGCGCCAGTTGAACCTCTAGCGTACATTATAATAATTCTGTGGTTTGAAAACCATGTTTCGGGTCCTCGCCGCTGCAAAAGGTGTGCGCTGACGTCCAGACTCCCCGAAAAATGTTCTGTGCTTCCAGATCCTCGCGCTCCAAACCTGCGACCGGGCACTCTATGGCTCCGTCGTCGAACTGCCAGACTTTGTGAATATGGAGGAGGTTATGGTTTGAGCCGAACATTGACGCAATCGCCGTGTCCAATCTGTGCCCAGCGTTGACCTTCTCTGATGACATCTCTATCAGAACTACGGCTTTGAAACCTAGGAAGTGTGAGGCCTAGTTGGTAGTGTCACGTGTCACGTTACGTTCCATGTGGTCTTACACGTGAGCGTTGTTTGAAATACACGCGCGAGGTCATGTGTGTGAGTCACAGCCGTGACATCACACGTGACTGTGACGTCGTGAGCCTATCGACCAATCAGGATTTTCCGGTGTGACAGACGCCGAGGATTTTCTGCGAGTCCCCCTACCTACTCTTGCACAACCCATTTTGCAGAGCCCATCGGGGTCCCATCCATGAAATTTTGTTCCGACGTGTTCACGATAAGATATACGTAATATAATGGCGTCGCTAATAACGCGGATTCGTATTTGTCTTCATGATTACTCTAAGCACTCAAAAAATGCAACGTGTTCGCTCTGGGACTGCGGCTCTGAAAACAATGGAAAGTAGTTGTTTCTGAGGAGAGAGCGAATCTAATAATGAAGCTGCACAGGGACCTTGGTTCCGACATCTGCACTATCCGTATCTTTCGAACAACAGTTCACACTGTCTAATCGGCCTCGTCCGACGAGCTCACGCGATGTTGTGTCAGGGCTTATTGTGTCCGCATAACAGAAGTTGGCTTATCACCCAATCATGCAGAAACAGTCGTTCGATATGCCCCACCCTCATTGGGCTCGCAATGCGTTCTGATATCCAGCTGTGGTTTCAGCTCTTACTATTTTAGTCTTGAACATATTGACACCTTCCGTCCGTGACAAAGGCAGATATGCTATTGCCTGAAGTTTTCCATTGTGCTTATACCCTTATACCGCGTTATCAACATGCAACTAAACTGTCAAAAAAAAAAAAAAAAATCGAAGTAACGATTTTTTTTGTTTGTTTTGTTTTTGTGGTCTGTATTAGAATGTTTTTTGGGTGCACAGTCATGCAGAAACTAAAACTCAACACGACCATGCGTTTTCTTTTTTTTTTTTTTTTTTTTTTTTCTTTCTGAGGGGCACCTGCCTCTTGGCACAAGAGCACTGCACGGGCCCGGGTCAGCCCAAAGGACCGAGCCCGTCCGGGCCCAGAAGCACGCATTTCCTCGGGCCAAGCTTGGGCTTGAAGAAAGTGTTTTTCGGGCCGTGCCTGCAGTCGTGTGCCGCAAATTCTGAACTGTTAACATCAAAAAGCGTACTCATTGAGCTTTTAGGTTCGATGAAAACGAACAAGCGAAAAGCAAAATCAGTACGCAAAAAGAAAAAAAGATTTATGTTGTTTGGAAAATTGATAAAAGAAAACGCATGGACTCCACCAGCATAGTGGGAGAGTCCGTGCTTTATGCTTACAGTTTTTAGGTTAAAGCCTGCAAACTCTTTCGGGCTCATGTTTATAATCTGTCGAGCGCAAATTTCTAGGCCCGGCCCGATCTGGGCCGGGTCTAGAAATTCTGGCCCGTGCAGTGCTCTATTCTGCAATCCTTCGAAGTAATAATTATTCATGTACGGCGTGGTCTATTCAGTGGACTGGGGGGTAGACGGAGGAGCGTTTTTTTTTTTTTTTTTTGATTACACAAAATTGTATTAGTCACCATTTTTTATTTTGAAATCGTTTTACAGACTGTTCCCCCTTTTTTTGTAATGCTTTTTACCGTTCCGTGCTTTCTGCGTAAGTTTGACGGGTCTCACCTTGTTGGCTGCCAATGAATAATCAAACCGTGACGTGCAAATAAATCGAATGAGTGCCAATATAACCAAACGCACCTAAAAAAAAAAAACGCATGATCGCGTGAAGTTATAACTTCCTGCGCGACCTTATCACCAATGTCGCGTGTATTGTACACCGTCAGATCTAACCCCGATTTTTCATGCAGGCGCTAACACAATGGCTCTCCGTCCGGCATCTGGTCGCAGCCCGCTCCGAAGCCATAAACACTAACCTCCAACTCCACTTCACCGACAAGGAGCCGCCAGTGTGCAGCGTGCTGAACGAAGACCAGCGAGGACAGCTCGATCTCGTCAGCTCTGGGCAGGGCGACCTGATACGCTCCAGCGCAGGAGACAGTAACGGTCGTCGTTGCAACCCTCTGGCTATCCTGATGGCCTGGATGGCAGCCAAGGACGTGCATCTTCAGCGCTACCAGAAACTTTACCTGGACCAAGGATTCGACGTCCTCACGGTCAAGACCCACCTGCTGCAGTTCGCCCTGCCCAAGAAGGACGACCAGCACGTGGCCGAAAAGGTGCTCGACTTCCTACTGGAAAACCCCAGCTACACAAACCTCGTGGTACATGCCTTCAGCGTGGGTGGCTACCAGATGGGAGAGATCCTAGCCCGCATGGGCATGAGCGGAAGCCGGTACACTAACCTGCTACCGCGGTTTAAGGCTCAAGTCTACGACAGCCTGGTCGAGTACACCGGTGCCGCGGTCGGCTTCTCCAAGGTGTTCGCCAAGGATCCGAGGCTTCAAAAGATTCTCGAGCTTGTGTTCAAAATACAGGCCGCCGTGTTGTACCCGGTGTCGACGGTACACCACAAGGCGGCTTCGGAGGCCGTTCACGACAGCGTGCTGACGTGTCCAGTGCTGTTGTTTGGGTCCAGAAAGGATAACGTCAGTTCACTGGATGATATCGCTGATCTAGCCAACGAATGGCGCCAAAAGGGCCTTGACGTTTCTCTGTGCGCCTTCGACGATAGTAAGCATGTACAACACATCGCCAAATACCCCGAGCAATACACCAATGAAGTGATCCGGCTCTTGCGAAAGGCCAAGCTTGTAAAGTAGATTATGGAATGAGCCCTGTCCCATTGTTTTGCTGCCGCCGTTATTATTCCATTGTTGCGAGCGAAGCGCTTGTCTGGACCACCTGGATGGGTGCGGGGGTTTGAAGAACTAAAAAATTGGGAAATCCAGGTCCTGTGAAGGGCGTGGCCTTCAACTACCTTGTTGGACATCTCAATTTCTTCTTATGAGCCGGCGCGTTTAGTTATGAGACTGAACGTGCGGCGGATAGCTTTGCGGAAGGCCTGCGATTTCACGCATAATAAGAAAATTCGTATCATTATCGGACGACTGCCCAAAGCTCACTGAGGACCTGAAAAGGAATTAAGGTTGTCTAGCATTCATAATTAGAATTGGATCATCCTCACCTCGCCATGTAAAGATCGACGTCGCACGTCACGTCTCAGACGCCTGGATGCTTTGACTTCCCCATGTCACAGGTTGTGCCTAGCTTGCAATCAGAGCTCGGGCGCGATCGAAATAATGTGAAGTGCGGATCTTCGCTGGAAGCTTATTTTGTGTCACATGTAAAGTCGTGAAGTTATGTATCTTGGTGTTCCAACTGGCGATTTTTGTGACAAAGGTATCTTCAGGGTCTGCCTGCCCAAAACAAACTGAGCGAAAAGTTCGGCCGGGTGTGATTGAAAACACTGCGCTGGCACCGTGAAGAACCGTGGTTCTTTTGTGACTGTATGCTTGTTCCTCGTGGGGGTTTCAGGCAGAGGCGTAACCAGGGGGAAGGTTTAGTTATGGGGTTTCAGCCCCTTCCGCACCGGGAATCATGGATATCCCAGGGCACCTCAACTCCCCCCCCCCCCCCCCCCCCAAAAAAAAAAAAAAAAAAAAAAAAAAGAAATTTTGGTTACGTTACTGTGTCCAGGGTATTTACACTGTTCGTGAAGTGCAAATGACAAGCGTGAGTTTTCATATATTGAAGAAAGGAGATAGAGGACGAGCAAGAGAGAAGATTACATTAAGAGTATTTACACTTGTTGAATAAAGCCGTGCGCTTATGCGACTTAAAAACAAAAAAAAAAAGTTATGCAAGATGAAAGTGTGGTTTTCAGTTTTCGATGGTATCCGAGCTTGTGAAGTTCGATGCCCTGCTCCTAAGAGGAGCATCGAATAGACCTCTTTCGAAACTCGAAGCGCCCCATCGCGGCGAAATGCCCCACAATACATTCTGGGAACTATAGCCGGCGACTGGTCAAGAACGAAGTGGAAGCTCCGCCCACCTCTTTCTACTTTAGTAGAGCGAACGCTGGAGAGGAGGCGTCCGCCTCTCCATCGTTCGCTCCGCTGAAGTAAAAAGGGGTGGGAGGAGCTTCCACTTCGTTCTCGACCTGTCACCGACTCTAGTTGGCCACTCGGTTTCGGTTTCGTTTCCGGAGCTTCAATTCATGCCGTGACTATGGTGGCTGGAAGGGGAAGTGTGGCGGCCAGGAGCGGAGGGCTGCACAGAGTTGCGATGAAAATAATAGAGGGCGCTGCGCGCAGCAGGCGAGTTAGCGCTGGCGTGCGGAGCATAGGAATAGTGCGCTTCGCGATATTTTCCCCTTGCTGCGAATACTGTAAAATAGTTGATACGCAAATAAAAGACAACTAGACGTTTTCTTCGAAAGCTGAATCGACTGACGCCTTGTTACGCAATAGGAAGGAAAGAAAAAAAAAACTATTTTTGATTTACATTTTAGAACAAATGCGCTGGAGCAGGTGAACGTCCACTGGGGAAGTTGGACTTTTTTTTACTTGATAACTTTATGAATCGTGAACACTTCATATGCTTCAAAGCAGTCTTGGGCAGTGACTAGTTACTAGTAACGCGTTACCGGTAACTAGTTACTTTTTCCGGTAACTTTTACCTGTAACGCGTTACTCTTTAATACTGGTAACTTGTAACTGTAACAGTGTTACTTTTTATTGGGTAACTGTAACTGTTAGGCCGTTACAGTTACTTTCTTTTTTTTTTACTATATAAATTAGAACCTACTTCCGCGGATATAGAAATCGCTGTCTTGAAGTATTTTTCTCCAAAACTTCTCGCTGATAACAAAAAAGCGTGGTTATGCAATAAACAAACAAAAAATTGCCTGGTTTAGCCCACGACCCAGAACGGACGACGGACGAGTCAGCACGAAACCGGGAGATAAAGGAAGCGGCGCCTGCGGTGGTAGGGGCGGCGAACAATGTCTGTTTCACCGACTTTGGCTCACTCTTCTCTCGTGGGGACCATCTGCGGGTGTCAGTGGTCGTGCAATGTCTCCGAGTGTTCGGTTTGGGCTGTGTCTGAATTAATTTTCAAGGAAGCCGTCCCCATATTCTGCAGAAAGCCGGCGCTTGTTTAACTTATTCTATTCGGAGCCGCTCGAGTAAACATGACATCCACAATTGGCGTTTCGGATATATCCCATAAAATATATGTGACCATCTCTGTCCTCATTCGTTTCGGAGTGGAAAATAAACCAAAACGTTCACTGACGCGGGCCGATGACAATTTTGAAAAACGGTTGATTCAAAGTTATAACAAGTATTGGAAATAAATTATGCACATCAAAATGCTGAAATGGCGAATGACGCAAAAAAGAAACACCCTTTGGGTTTGAATATTTAAAATTTTCTCAGCTTACTTTTCTTGTCACCGCACTGTAACAAATAAAATAATATTGTTTTAGTTTGTGATTTCTTGTGTCCGATTTTTGTACTGTAACGAGAAAGTAACGGCGTTACTGTTTTTTCAGTAACTGTAACTGTAACACGCTACCTTTTGAAACCGGTAACTGTAACTGTAACAGATTTACTTTTTCCTCCTAGGTAACTGTAACTGTAACACTGTTACTTTTTACTGGTAACGTGCCCATGACTGCTTCAAAGTGCAGCCGAAGAAAAATGTGGCGAACAAGACTACAACAATGTAGAACTCACTTTTATTTACTCTTTCAGATATTGCGTCAAGAATACAAGCCAAAGGAAGAAACTACTTGCTTCTGAAGCAGCTTTTGTTTTGACCTTTTTCTTTCTCTGAAGAGTGTATGGACAGGCGTTAGTAAGCGCGCCGAGTATTTTATTTCAATAAGTTAGCAAAAAATGTCCAGGAAAAGTGCGCATGCAGACACATGTTTGATTGCCGCTTGATCTGGAGATGCCACACACTGAACTACAGGTTTTCCCGCTCATCCTAATCCAAACGACGTCCAATTTGATCCCAGTACCACCCAATTTAACCCAAGCGCCACACAATTTAATCCTTGCGCTACCCACTTTAATCCCGGGGTCTGTCATTTTAATCCACGATATATAGTATATGCACTAATTGCATTCAGTGGTCGTGTTTTGCTTACACATTTGGTAACTTAGAATAATTGTTTATACTCTTAGATTTTGTGGGGGACAACTGATCATTTGATCACTATTGTGACTACTTGGAGTTACTGTCCCACTTTTGACGAGGCAAAATTGATATGTTTATTACTCTTTTTGTAACCTGGAGTTATTATGGCGCACTCGAATTTATTTTAGCTTGCAATTTATGATTACTCTTTTGATTCCTTCGTGCTATTATTGCTCCAATTGATCTATAATAAGCTCAGTTGACATTGTTATTCCTCTTTTGATTACTTCGAGTTACTTTTGACCCATTGGCCATAAATTCAAATTAAACTCCATTGTAATGACTCTTCATTACTTTCACCTAATTAATATTCAGCAAATTGAATTTTTATGTGATTATTTGCATTATGATTACTCTTGATTACTTTGAGTTATTCTGAATTCAATTGACTTTAATTCGGCCTAAATGACATTTGGTGACTCTTGTTTACTTTGTATAATTATAGCGCTAATTTATCGGTTGTAGCTCAGTCAGTCATTATTATTTGTCTTTTGATTACTTCGAATTACTTTTATAATTTTTGGGGCTAAGATTTAATAAAATTATTTATTATTCGCTCAACTGACATTGCAATTACTTGTTTTATTACTTTAAGTTACTATTGACCAAATGGACTTTAATTCCGCCTAATTGACATATTGGCTACTCGTTTGATTCCTTCCTGGTATTATACAACCAAATGATCTATATAGAAACTAAGTTGACATTATTTATTACTCTTTTTATTCCTTTGAGTTACTTTTAAACCAGTGAACTTGAATTAGACCCAAATGACATTAGGACGACTCTTGATTACTTTGAGCTTATCTTAATACACTTATTTATTATTAGCCTAATGTATATTATGATTACTCACAGCCAAAACAGCAGAACAACCAAAACAGCAGAACTTGTAGCAGCCTCAGAAGAGCGCCGGCGCCCGCGAACCAACAGATCACCCGAGACCGCTGACTCGCCTGCAGACTGCAGCGCCCCTCGCGGTGGCGAAGATTTTCATCGCAACTCGCGCCCCTCTCTGACACGGCGCGCATACGGCGCCCGTCACACTTCCCCTTCCAGCCACCATACCGTGACCGAATGCTCTGCTTGCGTTTTCGATTGTCCGACTTCCCACGAATGTACATGTATAATACTCTACGCATTCTCGAGCGATATAGAAGGAAGACCGGGGCACTTTTTTTGGTTCCCGACATGCCGGATATTGTTCCTGCGTATGCGAGCATAGTAAGACGTAACTTAGTCCCCTCACCCCACGATTTTATCTTTGAGTTCACTTTCAATAATCCTGTCTAGTACCAGTGAACCACAATTGAAATTTGGTCACTTTGAGCCCTACACGTATTTTGTTTGCCAAACGTCCGCTTCGTGTTATCATTGAGCAAAAAACAAGCCCATCCTCACAGGATGCTCACAGTTGAGCCCAATGTTGGCGCATGAACTTTTAAGGAAAAAAACCCACTACTGCACAAAAGTTATTATAAAGTCCTCCTCGTAAAAAACGCAATCAATTCGAACCCACTACTGCAAAAAGTTACTATAAAGTCTTCCTCGTGTCATGATATATCTCCCACTAAATTTTATGCCGATTGGAGATTAAGTTTTCACAAACGCCGAGTCAAGAAGGTAGGAGAAGCTCCTCCCACAAGTGTGATGCGCCCGTTTCAAATCTCTCCGCAGTCGAAAGAAGAGTTCACTGGAAACGCTCCTTGTTCCGCTTCAATGGATTCCAACTTGTCTCCGATCCCACTTTTTAAGGAACAGTCGAGGATACGTCTCTAACACAGCTGTGTTAGAGACGTATCCTCGACTGTTCCTTTTTCTTCTACTTTGAAACTTCCTCTTTTCCTGCCTCAGTCTCGGCTAACATCAGAATGGTTAATTTCCACCAGCTCGCCTGCGCACTCACTACAATATCACAGAAACGGTGGTACGCTATTGGATGCGGAGGTGGCGGAGGGATATTTGATTCCCTTTGAGGGGCATTTGCCGCTACCTTCTTAAACTGTAACTGACTATAGCTACGATGGAGTCCCTAACATCCCTAACAAGGGTCCCAATAATCCCCGCGAAGCCTTTTTGGACGAGCTTTTACGGACGCCGAAGATCTGTGTCTGAACAATGGTTCTCAAATATCTCGGCATACTCAGTCAGAAAGAAAGCAAACATATAACAAATCTTATGGCCATTAGCAACCGCCAAATGCGCTTGGAATTCTTCAACTCATTTGGCGCACCGCATAGGGGTTCACGGTGCGACATTCTTCACGGAAGTGCTCGACTGTTGATTTCTTCAAAACGGTTTGTATGTTTGAATGTGCCTATATGATTGCAGGATAACTTCATGCGATATTGTAATAGTCGAATCCAAGCGTGTAGGGACTTGATCACTTCGTGCGGTGCTGTGGGTCAGTACAGCTATAAAGGGATAAGATGTGTTCGATTTTAGTTTTTCGACGGCGTCTCCCAGTTTTACCTCGCGTAATCAAGCGTAATAAATAAATAAAAAAAAAAAAAACAACCTGAAAAAAGGTAATTTCGGTAATGGACGGATTAAACATGTAACAAACTTCAAGGAGGTTATAAGTACTAGGAGGGCGCACGTTGCAATATTGGTGAAGCCTAGTCATAAAAAGTTTAAACGATGTTGTGGCCAACGTGACCGTAGATCTCTCTGGCGGTTGGTGCGCGTGACATGTCATGTGTGGGATGGATGGTTGCTTGTAGAAGGATTCCTTGTAGGCTTGCGCGCGCTGCGTCCGGTAGGTTTTATCATATCGAAGGCTAGCTACGGTCACGTGATGTGGTCACATTGGCCTGATAAGGGAGGAGGGTGAGGAGGAAAATGAGAAAGAGGCGAGGCATCAAGGGAGCATGGCTTGTGGAGGCTTACGCGGCTGACGTCATGCCCTCTCCTACCCTTCCATCCTCCTTGAACAAACTTGCTGACCAGCAACAATAAGGTAAAGTTGCGAGCTCGGTGTACGCGAACTTATTGATTGTTACAGCGTGCCGACTCGTACACAAGCGAGACCCCACAGGTTCGCAGCGTCGAGATTCCCGGCACTGGCTTGACCACGTACCTCGAAACGCTAACAGAAGGCTCGAGTACAAAAAGAAACAAGCATGTGTCAAGACAAGCTTTACGTATGGTTCGGGCTTGTGCTGAAGCTTCGAAGTGTGGCCATCTAGGTTAGTTTAGAGACCCAAAAAGATGCGCTTGGGACCAGGAAACATGAGATAACGGTTATTTATAATCCACGCTATGATCTCTTCTCGACGTGTTGGATCGAAACCGAAAACATGCCGCTCTCCTTCCCTGTGCAACGCGCGCAGTGTTGCTCGGAGGGATTTATGGAAGTAGCCTATTTCTCGAGGACGTTCTCATTTTTCACAGAAATAGAGGTTTGCCTTAAATTTCACAATGTAAAATGCACCACCAAGGTGGCAACACCTTTGTTGTTGATAAACAATTATTAAAAAAAAAAAAAAAAAAGTTTAACGTCGACTAGGTGGCGCAAGACGCCGCCCGATTCGTACGCAGCCTTAGTTATATATCCTATCATTTATCGGCCATTATTTTTTTGCACTGTTTTTTGTTTGACCAGGAACGAAGTACGAATGTGGTACGAATAGTACGAAGCTGCTCCGCGAGTTGCTGGTTAACTAGCTGAGCACTGCACTGACTGCACTCGCAACATGAACAGCGAGTTAACGCCCAAGGGTGTCAAAAGAGCCCTCGGACATGAAGGCGACGTGCTTGAAGAGCCGACGAAACACCGGATGGTTGCAGTGCCGCTATCGTTTCGACTGAACCGCTCTTTCTTCGGCTTGTCCTGCGAACGGCTGGCGCGGGCCCTGCTGGGCAAAGTGCTGGCGCGACGACTGCCAGGCGACACCCTGTTGCGCTGCAGGATCGTCGAGACCGAGTGCTACCCGGGCCGCGACGACCGGGCGTCTCACTCATTCCAGGGCCGACGCACCGAGCGCAATGAACCCATGTTTATGGAGGCCGGCACGGCCTACGTCTACATCACGTACGGCATGTACCACTGCTTTAACATCTCGAGCGAGGGCGACGGCGCGGCCGTACTACTGCGGGCCGCAGTGCCCATCGAGGGCCTCGAGATCATGCGGACGCTGCGAGGTGCCAGACGCAAGGACTGCGGTAGGGGCCTCAAGGAGCGCGAGCTGTGCAACGGGCCGGCCAAGCTGTGCCTGGCCATGGCCATCGACAAAGCGGCGCTGAACAAAGAGTTCCTGCCGGACAGCCAGACCCTATGGCTCGAGCGGGACGGCGGTGACGTGGAGGCCCGCGACGTGGTCGTGGCAACGAGGATCGGCATCGACGGGGCGGGCAAAGAGTCCGCGGATAAGCCACTTCGCTTCTACGTCCGCGGCTGTGCCTGCGTCAGTGTGCGCGACAAGAAGGCCGAGGCCTTGACCTTGCCGTCGTGACCCACGGTTTAGGCACACCATCGGGCCAGGGTGCACTACGGGTTTTACTAGTCAATCAGGGGGCACAGTTCGCAAGCACAAGAGCAACTGAAAGAAGTTTTCCTGTCTGCACTGTCACCGAGATTTTCTCAATGTCGCGCAAAAGCTCAACGGGGCCATGCGCCCCATGCATTTACATACCTTGTGCCTCAACTTAGCCTATGGGGCATCAGTGAATCACTGAAAGAAAGGGGAAAAGGAAAGAGCTTATAGGAAGGACACATTGATATTTATTGTACTTGGGAGATAGCAATGTATGGCGTGCTAGTGTTGGGGTAAAGCTTGACGCCCATGCAACCCATGCACTCTTACAACAGTTTCACATTTTGTTATACGAATTGTGCTAGAGTTAGTTGTTTAGCTTTCCAAATGTGAATGACTGATCAATTATCATCCCTTTTAGATGGAGTGATGAAAAACAGTACTTAATCTTTCTTTTGGGGAACCTGTTCAGGACAAGCATTGTCGTCTCCCTTACACATGCTCTGGTCGCACTGCCATTTGCTAGTGGCAGACGAAGAAACGTTGACTAACAATGGTGATATGATCTGGGTCTGTAAGCCTGCTTCGCTCTTTAGTCACAGTCAGATCGACATGTACATCAGCCACCAGCGGTAAGGTAAAGGGTTCATTTTGGAACTTGCTGCTGAATAGATTTTGCACCAATTTGCAGTGTTAAGGTACACAAAGAACAATCACTTGTGAAAACAAGGCTTCCAAAACACGAAAGCAACCCTTGGCAACGGAATGGACCTAGAGAGTAAGCCTTCGAGCAAGTCAAGACTGGTTCTGTCAAGGGGAAAGGGTTGAGCAGGTTTCTCTAAAAGAACTTGCTATTGACTAAAATTTTTGTGAACTGTACTGTCCCTCACACAGGCGATAGTGTACAGTACTATCGCCGCTAATGGCATCAGTACGTGGCTATCACATCTTGCACACGAGTGTGATCAAATGAAATGCTACATGAAGCCACACGCTCATGCAGGCAGCTTTGACTGGTGCCATGCCATAGTGATGGTGCAGCGCATTTAGAAAAAATATTTTAAACGCATAGCCTTTATAAGGCCCCACCTAGCACTTCCCGGTGGCCGTCTGTCCAAAGTAGCCTCGGTGAAGGAGCAGCGAGGCAAAAGCGAGGAGGCCAATGTGGGCACTCGTAGGCAATCTCATCTAGAGTAACTAGAAGCAAAGCATGCAGTTACTCTCATCCCACCTTAACCTGAATATCTTTGTCAAGATCCCAGTTCTTGGATTTCCACCGAGAACGGTCGCTCAATACATCTGTTCGTGCAGCTACTTGTCTTTCCTCACAGCGGCCCTTGCGTGCGGGCCGTGTGCGCTGCTGCCCAAGATCATGCCACAAAGGAAGAGGCCCCTTACAGAGGAGGAAGATTTGGCCTGTAAACACCGTCGTGGCAAACAAGTTTGTCGGCAACCTACTCGAGAAATTAAGGTGCAACATAACGACTGTTTATGGAGCGAAACTGGCCGTCTTTATATAGTATGCTCAAAATATTTCCCTTATGTCCCTCTTTTACCACCCTAATGGTGCCCCAAAAGGTTTGAGCACCTTTCAAAACAGTCTTTTTGCTGCTCTTTCTTTAAATTCCTAGTTCGAGAGTGTTTTTGGTGTGAAGTTGCGAATGCATGGCAAGAGCGAGCGTGAACATTTCTTCCAGCAAGGAAACCATATTCTTTTGACTCGAACTAAGTTAGGGTGACCTACATCGAGTTCCCAAAACATTGCCTTTGTGCCCACTGTGGCTTATTCTTTTGCCCCAAGTTCGCACCAACAAGCTTCCCCCCTCCTCTTCCTGGTGGCACCCTTTGTTACCCCAAAGTTCACACCAGGATATCCTTGAACCAAGTCTCCAACAGGAGGCACCACTTCTTTGTAAAGCAGTGGCTTGGATTTCACAAAAATATTGTGACATATAGCCTGAGAATCGCAGAGAACCCGGATACTTGCAGACACAAAAGCCTACCGTTTTTGTCTGTACGAGCAAATAAAAGCATGTAAAAGGCACGTTCAAAAGCCATGTGCTCGCTCTGCACCCATATTTTTCGTAAGCACTCCAGACCAACTGCAGACGTTTGTGAGAGGGAGTAATGGGGTAATGACGACTCCAGCAAAGTCGACGTCACCTAGCGGCCAGAACAGAAAGCTTTGGCGGCAGGTTCGCTCGCCAGCCTTCTCGAGCACTGATCTCTCTGGATCGCGCTTCCCTGCTTGGTCGCTGCTGCGTTAGTGAAGTCATCGGACAGCTATCTTGCTCATTGGCAAATTGCGGTTTTGCTAGCGCTGCAGATGCTGGCGGCAGCGTGCTGATGACACGTGTTCTACTCGTTCGTCGTCGTTCACGGAAGAAGTTTTTTTAAGACCCTGTGTAAGCGGTGAGACTTGCCGTTGAGAACTGGAAATTTTTACAAAAACGCAGTGCCACAGGAAAAAGGCACATCTTGTCGAAAGCAAGTTTCGCTGGTCTCTCGGCGTTGTCAAAGCTTCCTTGGCACGCAGAAGTGCTGCGTCTCTGTGCCTTCGCACTCTTGGATACCAATCAATATTTGACGCCGCGTGGATGTGTTTTGCAAGTACAATATGCGTGAAGCTGTATATGACTGGAGCAGCGTTTTACTTTACTTTGACGACTGTTTTTGTAACTCGCAGTCCAAAAACGAGCTTCATCCAGCGTCCAATGGCGACGGAAGAGGGGGAAAGGTACGTCTTTTCTTTTTTTAAGTCGTTAAACAGTTTACAGAATACCGGGCACACAGCTCCTCATCGCTGATTAGTGGTCTGGTTCATTATCAACAATTGCAGCACGTGACATCAAGTTTGAGTGCAGCTCGCCTAATTGTGATTGGTCAACCAATTGCACACGACCGTATAGGCCGCGCCTAAAGATTTCCAATCTCGCCGTCATGTACTTTTGTTTTCGAAAACCATCCTTGCTCCACAGCGTTGCTTTATTTGTGCAGACATGTGATCTATTAGAGTAGATTTGGAACATAGCCATGGTTCATAGTGCATAAGAGCAACTGTACAGATTGCTTTCCCCCCTTTAAGGGCGAAACACATGGACGACGAAACCGTCCGATCCGACGTGCGGACTGCCGGAATGACCTTGGGGGGAGAGGGTTTTCGTAGCATCGGAGAGCGTTGAAAACCCTCGCCTCCGACCGTCGTATTGCGCGGTCGGACGTCGGATCGGACGGTTTCGTCGTACATGTGTTTCGCGCTTTAGCGACTAGATTTTAGTCGCGGAGCAACCAGAACAGGTCGGTAGCGACCGATTTTGGGCAGTCGCTCCCTAACCGATTTCTCAAGTCGCAAAAACGAGTCACTGGACGGCGGAGCCAATCACAGTCCCATCGGAAGTGATGCGTGGGTTTGTTTACATTCGGCTCTGCTTCCCGCGGGAAATAGCGGCGCGCGCACGGCAGCGGTAACTGGCATGGAGTTCTCCGCGGAAGCTATTAGGGAGTTTTCGTAGATCGTTTTCGCCGTCCCGCAAGGCCCTCCGCAACCCGCTACGATAGCGGGAACTCCATAGTCAAGGCTATCGGCGCGCAGGCGCAGTATCAACTTCTTCGTTGCGGAACGCTTAGCGGAGGAGCCAGCGCGGTCTACGAAAACTCCCTATTATTAATGCTGTCAAAGACTACCCGTTTCTTTACAATAAGTGGCACCCCGACTCAAAGGATCGGGACAAAAAGCGGCAGGCCTAGAACGAGATCGGCGACATTTTCGGCACGTAAGGAGCGCACATCTAGCCGTTGTTTTACGTTCCGAAACAACATTAAGGTAGTTATTTTTTTTTTTTTTTCTCTTCTCTCCTCCTCCTTTTGCCGGCACTTTTGATCAGAAAAAACCGCTCAGCCGGCACGGGAAGGTGTTGATTATTATCCGTTAAGTTGGCAGCGAGCCTGGCGACTCGTCGGTCGCTCAATCAGGTTTTAACTCTGGTGGTCGCCAGTCTCTTGTCGCTAGTCGCTGCAGCGACTGTCCCAAGTCGCAAGTGTGAACGGGCCCTTAAAGTAGATTTAAAGCATAGCCATGGTTAATAGCACAATCTCCTCTACGTGGTTAGTAGCACGACCTCCTGTATAGAGGAGGTCGTGGTTAATAGTGCATAAGAGCAACCGTACAGGTTGTTTTCACCCGTTATTGATAACAAGTCGCCGGAACAGCTGGACGATCCAGAGCGCCGCAGCCGATATATGATGCAAAAACATCTACGCACGACATACCTTCAAAACTTTGCCGCGGCGCCGATTCTTGATGGGTATTCAAGCGTGTGAAGGCACAGGGATGCAGCATTTTGGCGCGCCAAGGAAGCTTTGAGGACGCCGTGAAGCTGGCGAAACTTGCTTTCGAAGAGCTGTGCCCTTTTCCTGCAGCCTTTTGTAAAAAATTTCCACGTGTTCTCAACGGCAAGTCTGAACGCTTAAACAGGGTCTTAAAAATATTTATTCCGCAAATGACGGCGAACGAGTAGGAAACGTGTCATCAGCACGCTGCCGCCAGCCTCCGCAACGCTTGCAAAACCGCAATTCGTCTACTAGCAAGATGGCCGTCCGGTGGCTTCACCAGCTTCACTCGTGGGAGCGGGAAGCGCGATAGAGATCGGTGTTCTTGAGCGAATCAGGCACTCGCAACGCCTAGCGCTTTAAAGATTGGCCCTCTCTTTCCCCCTCAAGTTGTTGTTACAACGCTACACACATGCACAACGTAAAAAAAAAAAAAAAAAATGCGTGAAGTAAATCGCCAAGAGGTGGCACAAGCAGCCACCTGACTCAAATTCGACCAGAGCAATTTATCACTGTCTATCCGACGATACACGATCCCATAAACTAACTAAACGAGAGGGAAAATCAACAATTATGGTAGGTACTAAACGAGAGGGAAAAGCAACAATTATGGTAGGTAGGTGTGATACGTACGAATACACGTTCGGTCGGTGCAGTTTCCGATTCCAAGGCTTTGTCGGTTTCGCGACCTGTCTGTCAAATGTGCGGCACTGCGTAACGTTGGGCACTGCTGAGCTGCGATGTCAACAGCCAAGAGGAAGAGGGCCAAAAGGGCCCTCGTACAAGACGACGAGATCGAAGGGCCGACGAAACACCGGGCGGTTGCAGTGTCGCGCTCCGTCCGACTATGCCGGTCTTTCTTTGGTGTGTCCTGCGAGCGGCTGGCACGGGCCCTGCTAGGCAAGGTGCTGGTGCGACGGCTGCCCGACGACACCCTGCTGCGCTGCAGGATCGTCGAGACCGAGTGCTACCCGGGCGGCGACGACCGCGCGTCCAGCTCGTTCCAAGGCCGACGCACCGAAAGCAATGAGCCCCTGTACATGGAGCCCGGCACGGCGTACGTCTACCTCACGTACGGCATGTACCACTGCTTCAACATATCGAGCGAAGGTGACGGCTCGGCCGTGCTACTACGGGCCGCAGTGCCCATCGAAGGCCTCGAGTTCATGCGGACGCTACGCGGCGCCAGACGCAAAGACTGCGGCAGGGGCCTCAAGGAGCGCGAGCTGTGCAACGGCCCTGCCAAGCTGTGCCGGGCCATGGCCATCGACAAGGCAGCGCTGAACAAGGAGTTCCTGCCGGACAGCCAGGCCCTGTGGCTCGAGCAGGACGGCGGGGACGTGCCGGTCTGCGACGTGATCGAGGCCACGAGGATCGGCATCGACAGGGCGGGCAAGGAGTCCGCTAACAAGCCGCTCCGCTTCTACGCCCGCGGCTGCGCCTGCGTCAGCGTGCGCGACAAGGCCGAGGCTCTGGCTGAGGGCGCGCCGTCGTGACCTAGGGTCACGACCACCTAGAAGGCCTGCGCGTGACGTCAACATTAGATGATCGCTTGTCCCAGTTTCTTGGGTGTAATGCAGGCTTTGTCTTCTAGGTGGTACAGCACACCATCGGGCCAGGGTGCACTACGGGTGTTGATCGGGAGGGAAGCATCTGCAAGCTTGGTGCCACTCACTGGGCACTTGGCCGAAAACGAGCTAAACTGAAGGCAGTTTCTTGTTGCTAGGCGCTGAGTGAGAAAAGGCCTTCCAGCATCGGGTGAAGGCTCAACGGGAGCCATACTCCAAGCATTCACATAGCTTGCGTGTCAGCCGAAAAAGTCTGTAGTCCTTGCATCAAGAGAAGCGCATAAAGAATGAACAACTAGCAGATCAGGAGGGCAAGTCGTGATCCTCACTGGACTGTTCAATGTGTGCGTCGAGTTGCCCTTCTCCTTAAAAATGATCTGCTTTGATTCGTTTCTTTTTAGGAAACAAGTAGCATATCACTTAGTTTGTTTTCACGAAGACCAGTGAGTGATCGAGTTTGTCATTCTTTATGGCCAGAGTAATCAGCAACTGTTAGGGCTTTCCTTCCCGAGGAAGCTATACATGACAAAGCTTGTCTTAAAAGGGCCCTGCAAGGACTTTTTTACTGGTTCATAATTTGCACCGAACCTGAGCGCACTGAACATAGTAACTTAATGAAACTTTTCTCGAATTTCGCTTTAATTTAAAAGTACAAAAACAAACAAAAAATAACTTTCTTCATGACGTCCTTGGTTGCTTCAGTGGCCGTGAACTAGAGGAGGGCTAGTGAGCTCAGCGAGCGCTCACGGCTGCGGCACTCCGTGCTGACGGCGCGAGGGGGCGCCACTAAAGCATGTTCTGGATAGGCTGTATGCAGCGGGCAGCCAGAGCGGCTCTCATTGCATTTGCTGTGCGATTAAACACTAATTCGGCATGACACTTCATTGGCCACAAGCGACAGCAAACATGGGGTTAAGATCAGTTCAGAATGGGAGCCACTTTGCGCCGCCATACTGCGAAACGGCCAAACCGCAAGACAAAGTTGCTTGCCAATGGCCTTCGGAACGCTCGGAGCCGGTCGGATCCTCCAGTCCAGACGACCGCAGCACCGCCGCGTACATCCGGGACCTTTCCGTCCGGCGCCTGATCCCACTACTCCTTTCTAGTATGCGCCGCCTTTCCACCGCCTGGTGGCGGGTCATTTGTTGTTTTCATACTTTATAAACTGCATTCGTTTCTTTTCTAATCTAAAATACTGAACAAAAACTACTTTTATAAATAATTGAAACAGTTAGTGCCACTTATATATTGTATTTCGACTAAAAAGAAGCTTTTAGTGGCTCTGACCAGTGGTAAGCCCAGGACCAAAGACGTCGCATATCGCGCGCTTTCGGTACCGCGGGTCGCCCTCGTCGGTGGAGGAGGCCTCCACGTCGTCCGGTTAACATATGATGCACTGATATTTAGTTACTCTCTCCGTGCCCGCAGGCTCGCCCAAACCCCAAGAGACGTGGAAACCACGAAAAAGGTAGACGCTTAAATATGATTGCAGGGCCCCTTTAACTGGTGCTGTGGTCACACTGCCATTTGGTAGGGCTGGAAAAATAAAGAGAAAGACAATGGCAACATGACCTAAATATCTAGGCTTCCTTTGCCTGTCCAATCGTAATTAAGTTGACATGCCAGCCAGTAGCATCTTCAAAAGAGCAATGAGTTACCATTGAGGCAAAGTAACAAGTTCATTTCAGGGACCCTAAACTCGTCAAGCACAAAGTTGGAGCCGCAAGCTTGCAGAGCGCGCTGACTGGATACTGGCGAAAAAAGCATGAAGTCATCGTCGTGATAGGCCAAACTGTGCGCTTTTTCAACTTTGGCCCCAACTTTGTGTGTGATGAGTTTAGGGGCCCAGGACTCATTAACAAGCAATATACTTGGTTCATAATTGAGCGAGTAAGAAAGGATGGTTTATCATGATAAGAAACGGTGAGAATAGTAATCGTTTGGACATGGAAGGCTTCCTTGAAGGAAATCGACCCTTGGCGACAGAATTTGTCCAAAGAGTAGACCCCTGAAGAGGTTGAGGCTTTGATCCTGCCACAGAGAATGGCGAGTGGATAGAGCCGATGTGCAGATCCTCTTTCATACTTGGTGTTTAGTGCCATCCCTGTTACTGGTCCAAGTGCACGAGTTCATGTCTTATCATGCCAGACCAAGTCACATGCACGTGCAAGCACGGTATGCAATGTTGCATACCGTGCGTGGTACACTACTATAATGGTGCAAAACTGTCAGTAAAGTGATGATTCCGGCCGCTGAATAAATAAACCTTTATTTTTGCTACCCTGCAGGTAATGGTGCTCATTACGCTTGGATTTTACAAACTGTCCTAACAGTATTGAGTAAATACATAAAAAATGGCAGGAACACAATGAAGAACGTGGAGAACGCATGAAAATGCTGTAAAACAGTTAAAGAAAAAAGCAGATAAGAAAAAAAATTACGGTGCACAAACAAAGTAGACAAATGTTAGAATTCTGCAAAAAAATAACGAATTGTAGTCTTAAAGAAACAACCATCCAAAACGGGACCGTTTGCTTCCTCAACAAACACGGATAAGAGAGGCTCTCGCTGCCCAAAATCGGTGAACGCTCTGTCATTTTTGTGCAAGCGTCGTCGCACTTCTGGGGCACAGTTCTCCGTCCTGTCTGAAATGCGAACGACGTTCTGGCAGGGGAGGACTCCTCCCCACGACGACCAGAGCTCCGACCGGCGCTAGCCGCTGGCGAGCGGCAAGAGAAACCGGTAGTCCTCCTTCGTGAGCCTGCGGCTGGCCACCACGCTGTCGGCCAACCTCTGCTTCTGCGCTTGGAGCTCCAAGATTCGCTCCTCTACGGTGCCCGCGCAGATGAGCCTGCGGAGGGGGTGGGCCCGTTTGCACGCTCGCGTTTGCTCGCGACCGAGTCCTTGGAGTCTCTTACAACGAGAGAACACGCTGGCGCCATCCCTGAGGCGACCTTGGAACCACATTTCACTACAGCGAAGGTCCTGAGGTATTTTGAGACGAGATGCATATCTAGCTACGAGAAATGACGTCGTGAAAGGTTTTTTGAGCCAAGAGAGAATGATGAGTGAAAAAGAAATGCGCGGATATGCTGAATGTTCCAGTTACCCGATGGGGGGGCACCGGTATGTTCTCTTGTGAGAGATTTTAAGAGGTTTTGATGCACAGCCATTGCACCGTGCGCATGTTTTGAGCTTGCGTGCCTACCTCCCCAACTCGGTTTGCACCGGCTTGGAGAAGTACTATTCGGGGTGTTGGGGAGAAAAATCCCGTTTTTCACCACAGTGGGCGAAGAAGTGACAGAAATAGTTGCTGTTGCGAGTAGTAAGAACGTCTTTTATGCGTATCCATTAATTATTTACTCCATCAATATAGCCTCGTGGTCGCTGAAGTATGTTAGAAAAGAAACGCACTGCACACAAGTCGACGTCCCTGCCCAAGACTAAGTCGAGACGGGTACAATTGGTGGAATGCTTTCCATCTGACGGTACATGCAACGAGTTCTACGGCGAGGAATGTCTACCGGCGTCTCCCGCCAACCGTAGGAGTTTAGGATGCCGCTGTCTGGTAGGGGCCAAGTGCACGTGCACTTGAAACTAAATACTCTGCTTTGGCGCTACGCTGACGCTGTGAATGCGGCTGGGAAGACCCTACAACAGCAACTGTTACAAAATAAACATTTTTTTCGCCACAAAAATTGACTATTTTATGTCGCCGAACACCCAGCCTCAGCCCGAAATGTAACTCTAGTGGTTGGGACCAGATACTAAAATCGGAAACTTACTGTTATCGAAATCACAATTATGAGCAATTTGAATAAATGTGCAAGACTGAAGTGGCGGCTAAAGAAAACAAATCACAATTATGAGCATATTGAGTAAATCTACAAGACTAAAATGGTGGCTAACAAAAACGAATAATACATGAAGATGAATAGCATCTGCTACAGGAAACATGCTCCATTTCCTTGTAGATAAATTAAAAAAATCGCTCGTAGCTGTTTAACAGGATGACGGTAACCTCCGACTCTTTGGCATCTGGTCAAGGCCGTTAGCGCCATGTCTGGGCACACACATGGCACTCTGGGATGACGCTCAGTAAGTTCTTAATTAGAACCATATGTTTCACTAATTGAAAAGTGAACATATTTTAGGAAAAAACTGAGTGCGCAGGCGAGCTGGTGGATGTTGATCATGATGTAGAATACCCGAGACTGGTAAAAGCTGGAAAACTTGGTCGAAGACAAAAGACGGGAGACATTCTGTTCCTGCCTTTTTTCTTCGACCAAGTTTCCCAGCTTTTACCACAGTCTCATATATCATGATCAACATATTTTAGTTAATTAGCAGACTTGTGTCTTCCTGGCCATATAACTCACCTGCACAAACTGCATTGGTGTAACTTTCACAGCTTTTTTAAAACAAATCTGTAAAGTCTAAAGGAAAACACCCAGTGACTTGCACAAAGGTGTGCTGTAAAGTACCGGGGGAGCGCCCAACCCATTTTCATTGAAAATTGGATTAATCCAGACAGGGTACTTTTCCGGTCAAATCGGGCTAATAACGTATAATTTGCAGAATTCACAAATTTGGAACGCGGTACTTTACGGTATACAGCTACTTTTCTGTGAAAACATCAGTTTATAGGGGGGTACAACTTATAGACCGGAAAATACGGTCGTTGCCTCGTAGCAAGAAATCGAGGGTGATCTCTGTGCTTTTGCTTGACTCTCAGAAGGAATGGCATGTCTCACCGGTTAATCACCACTGGTTTGGTCTGGCCCACGCGATGAATGCGGTCGAACGCCTGTGCCTCCATAGCTGGGTTCCTGTCGAGAAGAACAGCTCTTACAGTTGGGCAATGTACTTTGCCACATGTGACCACCCCTGCGTGCTATAGCCGCCGAAGCCAAGGAGCATAACTCTCGTGTAGTCGCAGAAAAGACGGAGTCTATAAAATCTCGGGGAGAGTACCGTTGGCGACCGACAAGTACAATTTGCCAAGAATGAGCGACGAGAAAGAAGCGCCAACATAACATTTCTGAAAACTACATTACTCACTGACAGGGAAAGGCAGTCCATGATCACCGTTTGCCCAAATTCTTTACGGGATGCAGCTTGTTCGACAGCCAGGTACTCACCAGTGGACGTCCAAGGCGAACATGTGATTGGCTCCGATCAAGTTCAGGCCGACGCCTCCCGCCTCTAGGGACAGGAGCAGCACCTGCAAGGGCGGGACTCTGCACCCGCATGTGGCCAACAGCGTCTTGGCCTCAAGGCTGGATGCTCTGAACCCCGCCGTTCTTTGCCGTTGGCAAGCAACATCGTCAGACGACGTCCGTCCGTTGGCAAACAGCATTGTCAGATGACGTTCATCCATTGATAACGAATGTTGTCAGACAATGTTTGTCGATGGGTGAACATCATCGTCAGACGGTGTTCGTCCGTTGTCAAACAATATTGTCAGATGACGCTTGTCCATTGACAAACAACACTGTCGGACGACGTTAATGCATTGGTGAACAACGTCGTCGGATAACATGCGTTCGTCGACGAACAATGTCACCGGACGTCGTTCCTCGACGGGCGAAATAGAGCGCCGGGCTTGAGCGACTCCGCTCTCAGTTGCTCACCTTAGGCCCCCGGGGGTCTCGGTTGAAGGAATGCACAATTTCGGCTCGCCTCTGGCCCGGCACGCTGCCCTGGATGGTGGCGCACGGGATGGCGCGGCGTCCCAGGTGCTCCTCGACCAGGGCAAGCAGGGACGTCCACTTGGACAGCACCACGCTGCACAACCAGGGATCCGTGAGGAAACGAAAGGGACTGCCACCTTGCCCCGCACCACGGTGCAATATAGCATGTGTAGGTGTGGACACCGCGCACGTCGCAGTTGCCCACATAAAGTCCTCTCCTCGCCTCAGATAAAAGTGGCGCCACCAGACGGCTGCTCGACGTGCGGCCGGTGGTAGCTCGCCGTGGGGCCGGTTTTCCACGCTCCTCCGAAAGAGACCTGCCCGTTTTTAAGGTCGTTTTTTAAGTGCGTTGCATCGTGTAGAGCTCGGCACTTGCACTACGCGCGTTGTTAGACGCAGCCTCAACGCCGAGTTTTGTGCCTCGATGGCGGCAAGAACGGTTTTATGAACGCGTTGAAGCGGAGAGATTTTCGGCATGGTGTTCGAGCAGGCGTCTGTCGGGATTGGAGCAGATGCACCGAACAGAAAATGCAAGCATGTGGGTGCCGTGGCAACAACACACTTCATTTGCTCTTGTTTGTTTCCTTTTTTCTCGATTACGCTGTCTGGATGGTGGAGACGCCGTCGACTAAGGCTACTCTGGAGCGCACCAATAGCACTTTAGATGGTTGATCGCATTGTGGCATTCGCCATGCTGCGTGTCCTCACCTACGTATATCTCGTACCGTTCCTGACACCCACCTCTTGTCCTTTGGGGGCACCTCCTCGAGCAGCTGTAGGAGGGTCGCCAGCTGCGCACAACGGGAAGGACAACAAACCGCTAAGGAGGGCCTCAGTTTTGAGTTCACAATGTCAATTTCAAACAACTTCTACTTGTAGGCACTTGCGCATGTACCACTACTTTAGCTCTGTGATGTTAAAGTTTTTTTCCCAAAAGATGTTTCACGGTGGCCGGGATTTGTTTCCAAAGGAATAGTACAAAGGAATTTAATTACATCTAGTGGGAGCACGTACAGTGCCTGCAAGCAGTTCAGATTTCGAAGCGTAAGATGGAAATATTGAAGGTAAAAAGTTGTCACCTTTTAATGCGAAAGCATTAACTATCCCATGGAGTGCAGCCAGCGGCGACTGTAACCGCGAGAGAACGCGAAAGAAGTGCCCATTCTTCCATTGGCTAAGCAAAACGTCTCCAAGATGGCCATTGGTGGCCGTTTGACAAGAGTGCCAGGCATTGCAGGAAAGGGGCGGGGGCTTTGGCCGCGTCTGCTCTTCTCTGCGCCGAGGAACACGGTGGCACCCGAGGCATCTATATCGTCGGCGGCCGCAACCTCGGCAGTAGCCAAACGTGGCCGTCCACGCCAGTACACCACAGACAAACTAAGGGAGCGGAAGAACGATATTCATACTTTCACATTCACAACTCATAGGAAGTGCTTCGGTGTCCTCGGTTTTGTAGCTGCACGCCAGCCTTAATTATTTTTTCCATTCGGTTTCGTTTTGGCATATGCAGTTCTGTGACCTTTTGGCAGTTTAACGATTACAAACCAGAGGTACGGGAAGTCGCCCCAAAAAACTTACAGGATCTTTCTTTTACAGTGCAACCCACTTATAACGATAATGATAAAACCCACAATTTCAATCGTTATAACCGATTATCGTTGTATCTGAACCAGAAATTGATCATTTCCAGTCTAGAAACTCTAGAAAGTGATCATTATAACCGGTACACCATTATATGTGGTATCGTTATAAGTGGGTTGCACTGTACCATGAAAATGAAGTGGATTGCTGAAGGGTCATTCCCCTCCCAAACACAGTGCCAGCGGTCTCCTGAACCGGATGCCAAAGTTTCAAAACTAACCATTACCTCATTCAAAAGTTATAAGTCATCTTTTGAAAATTTTAATGGAAAAATGGCGGCTGACAGAGCCCTCGAATACACGGAGCTGAATGGTGCCTGTTACCGAGACCAGACCCCATTTTCCCATTGAAGTTTTCGGAAAATTGCTTCTGACTTTTGAATAAAACAAAGGTTGGTTCTGAAACTTGGGCATTTGCTTCAGACTGTTAGCGCTGGATCTAGGCAAGTTGAGTGTTCGATGATGCATTCGGACATGCTGTGCACAAAGGCATTTGCACACCACTACTTTAACATCTCACAAGACAGCCCACCCCCAAAACGGGGGCCAAATGGAGTAAAAAACAATATAATGGGCACGGTTTACTTTTAACTTGGCAATCCAAATGCTACTCGCATGTGCAGGAGCTTTGGAAAACTTCAAAGATGAGAAATAATCCTCTTTTAGGCTGTCAAAGTAGCAGTCGCTTTCAGACAGCCCATCTCGCATCGCAGACTGCACAAATTCGTGTACAGTCGACTTGCGTTAATTTGACCTATCGTTTAATTCGATCCCGCTCAACGGTCCCGGCAAAAGTCCATACGTTTCTATGGGAACAAAAACTCGTTAATTCGATCATGAAATATAAAATATCGGTTAACTCAACCGTTCCGTTGGCCACGCCGACAAGCGCGATCGGCTGCGCCCGTTGCCGGAAAAATTTGATTTCAAACTTTGAAGTGCGCACCGCATTGCAAAGAAGGAGAAAAAAGAGCACACGTTGAGACACGAGACACGGCCTAGTCTCAACACAAAACAAGCATTGCAACACCACTGCAGAGCAGTGAGCTTTGGCATGGGCCGCTGCCGCGCCGAACGCGCGAAGGACATACACGGCCGCTGCCACTGCCTTGCGGCGGCTCACTATAAAAATGTTAGCCCACCTGATCTAAAGCGCTGGACATTCAGAATTTCGCATGGATCTTTTAATTCAACTTTCGGATAATTCAACTAATTTCGCATGTCCCATCAAGGTTGAACAAACAGAAGTTGACCGCATGATCGCAAACAATGTGAGCTTAAACAACCTTGCTTGTTTGCAACACCTGCCGATTTTTGTGAGAGTAGTGGTTCAAGCTAGGAATGGAATGCAAAGTTGAGGTCCCATATATCAAACTTCTTGACAAATTGAAAGGTAACAGAGCTTGCAAAAACTGCAGACACAGAGAAAGGCCAAATATACTGTCTGTGGAGGTACGGCTATTTCTAGGATGTTCTTTGGCATTCCTCTAATGAGAAAAAAATTGGAAAGTGGGAATCTGTCGCCGTGGCAATCACGGGGCCAAAGTTTTTGTCCCCACCTTGCAGCTGGTGAAGGAGCGCTCCATCTCGGAACAGCGGGAGTACTTGTCCAGAACGTCCAGTCCCTGGTCCGCCGTTTTGTTCAAGCTCAGGCCCGAGAAACACGCGGCCAGCAGGTCGTCGCAGTCCACCTCTGCGTCCTCGAGCACCCTCTGGAGGCGGACAGAGGAAGCAAGGCATAAACAACAGTACGTGGATGGATGGACGTATACCCACGGATAGCATATGCCAGAGAAACGCCTAACTTAGCATGGGCTTGACAATCCTAGGGGCCTAGCTTGAACCCAGTACTGTTTTGCTCCAACGCGGTAGTCAGTGCCAGAGTACTTCTGTTTGTCGTTTCTATGGCCTTCTCCTTGCTTGCCGCATAATTGCCAAAGTGCCAGGCTTGAGCCAAGGATGCCACATACTCAAGAACTAGCAGTGAAGCCTAAACCTGGCACTAGTTTCGCAATTTAGGAGCAAAGTTGCCAGATGAAAACGAAACGACCAGCAGTGATGCCCAACTTTGGGCCACTTGTTTGTCGAATTGGGGCAAAGATACCAAGACTCTGACCAAAGGAGGTCAAGTTTGGCTATAGCTTAAGGCTTCTTTGGGTTTTTTAAGGCCCTGGATTCCCAGACAAAAGCATTTGATCCCAAAGATTTGTACTACCCGGGTACAGCAAAACCCTTTAAAAAAAGGACAGGAGAACACTTAAGACTGCGTAGGAATACAAAAGCATTCATATACGTAGCAGCTTCCTACAAGCTGCACGCCCGCTACCCTCTGCGGAGGCCTGCCGAGCAGCCTCTGTGGACGCCGGCCGGCCAGGCTCTGGGGAGCGGCGGGTGTGCGCTGCTGCGGGGGCGCGCTGGAGCAGCGCCAAGGATGTGTGGGGTGGCGTTTCTTGGAACTATACGGAGCACAGGCCGCCTCGCGGTCATTTTAAGAGCCGTTCCGCGAAGATAAATTTTTTGCTGTTTTTTCGCGGTTACGGCGCAAAGGGAATTTCTCTGCCGGTCTCCGTGGTTACGGACAACGCCGATTTCGCTCCAGGGGACAGTTAATGCAAAAGCATGAAAATGTTTGCATAAAGTTTGTGACCACATTTCACAATGCTCTCCTTACTACGCCTTCATATGTATCATCACGCTTGCATCACTGTCATAAAGTAGGCATCACCTTTTGTAACACTAATGCCTTTATATTCATTTATCCTACAGAAAATCAGATGACTGGAACCACCTTCCCTCTCTTATTGCCACAATGACCAGTTATGAATTATAATCATCAGTCAGGTGCACGGTACATATTTGCCTAACTTGCAGTCACAATGGTTGCATAATGCTAACCAATTCTTTCAATAAAATCTTTTTTTACTGATAATTGTTTACCAGATTATTTTTGCAGGCTGTTTCTCTTTTTTGTGTGTTCCTGCTCAAAATATTAATTTTTTTTTTTTTAAATTTAACTTTAATTAATTTTTTTATTGATGCCTTGAGGGTACTAGAAATAAATAAATTGGGCAGCGGCTTGTGCCACCTAGCCCGAATTCTCAACATCAGGTGCTAACATTGTCATGTATGACAAGTGATGAATAGGCGAATAACTAGAAAAATAGACCTTTTATTAGGTGAACTTGTGCCTCCAAACAAAACAGAAATCAGGGGGTCAATGTTAACGTGAGCGGAAAGATAAAGTGCTGGAGGAAGACTGCTTTGATGCAGTGCGCTAGTGCTGCTTTTACACTCTCTCCATGTTCAGAAAGGTTCTAAATCTCAGCATATGGCAAGAACAAACTGAAACTCTCTAGATAAATAAACTAAGTTGGCAGGGTTCCAGCTCTGTGCGTCCTGAACTGCATGCAACCCGATCTGGATGCCACGATTTGCACGCAACCTGGACACACGCAGATCGTGGCATCCAAAAGGAGCACACCGCAAGACCCAGAAAACGTGGGCCTAAAGGTAACCCGACGACGAGCCGGACACTTTGTAATGTTTTCAAATTCTGGTGCCTTTGAGAGCTCACCGTCTGATGGGCTCCTTTCGCAGAGCAAGACTGCCCTGCTGTAAGAAAATGAATGCGCAGGTCTCACCAGGACCGTGACTGCTCGAGCACCTTAACTGTTAGCGTTAGTAAAATGCTAGTACCGACCGACGCTTCTTTCTATCTCCAACTACTCCGGCTGGTGCAGCCGGCAAACTGCGCAAATGAGGTTAAACTGGGCCGGAGAACACAGCCTTCTCGCAAAGATGATACAAGGGCTGTGTTCCACAATCTGCTCAATCTCAATCACTCCAAAGTAAAGAATTTTCTACACTGCCGTTCGAAAATCTCCTCGCATTCAGAATCACCCTACAGACAGCTGGTTCACGTCGGCTTACTCAATGGTTCGGATGGTTTGTGAGCGCGTGAATACTGCAGTCACTCACCCTCTTGAGAAGCGCAGGGTGCGAGCAGGCCTGCTGCAAACGGATCAGTGCCACGAAACGCCTCGATCCAACGTTGCGGTACAACTCCTTCTTGCTCACGGGGTCCACATACTTTTCCGGCTCCGTCAACCTGCACGAAGGTCCCACACGGAACGACTCTCCAGACGCAGTCACGACCGCATTGACGGCTCTTCTGCAGACGCATTATGATGCACTCTTTGGTCGGTTCATTCCCCCTTTTGCATCCAGAGCTTAGTCAACAAAAATCGCATCCACTGCATTATATCCAACATAATTGCATTATGCTGCAATATGATTGTTGACAAAAATCATATATTCATATGCTGGTCACTGTTTGTTGCATCATTTCACACTGAGTCATTCATTTCAGTGGACACGTTGCATTTAATGCCATTTCCGTAGTCCGTTTTTGACAACTTTTAAAGGTTGTGCAAATATTCGAGTTTTGAAATACTAGTTTCGAATAGTACACTGTTCAATATTCGCTTCGAGACGACCTGTGATATTCGAAATTTTTGATGCGTTGATCAGGGCCGCCTAGCCCTGTCAGTGTGCTTCTCATTGAGCACCTGTACACTGCGGAGAAGCAAAACCCGCGGAGTTTGCGGGTACTGCTTCTCTGCAGTGCAGAAGTGCCCAGTAGGAATCACACTCAAAGGGGCTAACCTGCTGCGAATATGTAAGAGGTTATGTCAAGCCGCAATGTCTTGAAAACCCGCATTCATCATTTGTGCTTGATTCATTTTTGTAAATTTGAAATTTAAGAAAAAAATATTTCCGATTTGCATATAGAAAGATTGAAAAATCCCCTCGATTAAGATAGCTGCAACAAACTTGTTGTTTACGTGCCACAGTTCGTAAGTACTAGTTACGTTAAATTTAAGTGAGCTTAGAAGTGGACAAGTGGAACGTTGGAACAACCTGCACAAATTCAGCTGTATTTTTGTTTAAACGGGCAGTGCAACGATTTTTGTACTTTGCAGAAATACCACTTAGAATGAATCCCTAGCGTTTATAACCTATGAAACCAGCATTAGCTTTTCACCTTGTGCAATGGTAGTCACAAAAAAAATGAAAGAAAAGCGAGCAGCGTTCTCTCCCTCCACTCGCAGCCAGAGCAAGCAGCAACGCGATTTGTAGCCGATTATATGCCGTCGATGTTTATCATAGCCAGGTGCTGGGGTTGACAAAGCACAGGGCATACGCTAAGGTCCAGACATTGTTAGGGTCCGGCTATTGTCATCATTGAAGCGATTGGGCACGAGCCACTACCCGAATGCATGTTGAGCTACTGATTATCGCAAGCCCAAATCGAGTGCTCACGCAATGCACGGGTTTAATATATGAGCCACATTCAAATATTGTCACTGGGGGACTATATATCATCACTGGGGGACAATGCAACCTCCGAACTATGTCACCAAGTTCTCTGATAAAGAGACTGAAAGAAAGCGCTCACTTTAGTGAAAAATATTCCAACTGAATATGGTTGCATCGCCCCTTTCAGCATGGTGCGTGATATTGAAAGGCTTAGAGAAGCTATTCAATAATTTATTAGAAAATATTCAACCAAAATCACCATTCAAACTCAAAATTTACTATTTGCACGTGTCTACCAATTTTTTATTAGTTTGCTATAATATGGGTTTCAATTATAATATATATTTATTTCCATTTGCTGTATTTCCCTCACATCTTGCCATTATTATCAGTGGATGTGTTAAAGTGAATGTAGCTTTCATTGTGCGTTGTTGTTGGTATTTACAATTTATTTATTTTTTGTCTCGTTTACTTATACAATCAGCAAAGCAGTGCTGACCCTAGTCTTGGCCACCGATCAGGCGAATGGCAATATTGTTAAATAAATAAATAAATAAAGAACAACTCAATGACACATTCATTTTATTAATGATAATCTTGACCTTATAGATCAACTTTCATTATTGCTTTTGCAACTAGCAGAATATATACAAGGTGGCATCGACCCTTGGGTACGCTGTGAAACAGACCGGAAAAATTGGCGCTTGCTTGCAGAGAGCTAAAATTTCTATCAAAAGTGCATTATAAAACCGTATTTTCTGCTGCCCAAGTCACATGTTTTTTTTTTTTTATAAGCATGGACTTTAGCTGTGCAATATATAGGCCGTTTTGACATTTACAACAAAGAATGGCAAAGTGCCGGCCTGCTGCTCCGGCCATATAGCCTTTTTATTGCATTGCTTCACCGTAACCAGTCTAAGTCTGAAACGTGGCCTTCGGTTACTATGGATCGGCTTTCCCTTATAGCCTGTGCCCGGCAATACAGTGGCTCCCGGTAGAAGCCACCATATTGGACCAAGAAACTGAAGCAAATCTAAGCTGGCCCAGGCAAAAACAAGGGAACAATCGTGTCACCCCTTTACTTTGCCTGCAGCGCTGCTTATTGCCATAAACACTCGCACATTATATTCGCAACACTGCGAAGTGTTCTGGCTTCTTTTTGACTTATTGGCACTCTCTTTTTTATGTTTTTGGTCATTTAATTTGTCCCGATGTCGGCGTTTTTCCCGTATTGGTGCGCATTTCCTTCTTCTGCATACTTTGTGCAGCGAGGGTACACATTTGTGCAGGTTTTCGTCACTTTTCAACAATTTCTTTCTTTTTATTTATTTGTTACGAAATGTTTGCTTGTTTTCTGCACTTGTACGAAATTTGCTGTATTTCCATTCCTGCCATTCCTGCCTGGACCGTTCATTTGGTGTGCAGTATGCGATAAAGAAAGGGAGGAAGCAAACCTCGACCAGCGGTCGATGTCCTCGTACAGCCTGGCCTCCGTGCCCGCCAATCGCAGCTTGTGCAGCACCACTGTTCGCTCTGGAAGGGGCACCTGAAACACCCGGGGGGGTCCTTCCTTGCTCGCAACGCTTTCGGGCCAGGCGGTAAACCCCGAGGTCAACACTATGCTTCCGCGCTGCGTGCAGCCCGGAACGCATCTTCTGAACAGTGTGCGTCGCGTCCCATCCCACCCATACATCGAAAATGGTCCCCAAGTGGCAACAAAGGATGTCGCAACAAAGGCTGTCGCGTCGTTTTTGTCGGATGCCGCTATCCCGGCTGTCGATGCTAGAAGTCCCGGCAAAAAGTATGAGCGATTGCGAGTGTCGCTATTGTTGCGCAGTCTTAACTCCTGGGCTGTAACTTCGATGGTATGTCATCGGGCGGAAATGAAGAAACCACTTTTGAGAAACCACTTTTTAGGACGCGGTACATCGCACCAGTGGGAGAGGCGTTCCAGACACTATACAGGCACTATACTTCCGCCGGCCTGGACACGCAGAACTCACCAGGGGCTGGTTGTCCTTGCCCTTCTGGTCTTTGGTCCTGCGCAGGAGGAGGCACTTGACAACCACAGCCATGGAGTCTGGTCCTGAATGGGCAGAGTGCGACGTCAGGCGTGACCCCAAGTGTGCTTTTTCGTCGTAAGAGATCACAAGAACTGGGTCATGAGCAAACGCAAGCGAACGGGCCTTTGCTCGAAAAAACACGTGCAGCAGGCACACTGAATCTGGCAAACGTTTCTCGCTGGCAACAGCTATGGGCTCCCAATCGCATGCAGGCCACGCTAATATAGTGCCTGTAACGAGATTTTGACTGGAGTCTTCACTGCGTCTGCATTTTTGTCCCCTTGATTTCTGCACGGGGATGTGACAACTGTGTTGTTCTTTGGCTTGCAGCACCTCTAGTGGTAAACGGCAGTGGGAGTAAATACAGCAGACTCCTGTTCTGTTATAGTTAGTTTTGTAGCCTGGCAATCGACAAAATCTACGGCAGCCACGAGTTGGAATGGCATCACGACAGCGATGCTTGCGTCCATGCCCCTTCTTTACCGGCGCTTCTATGACAAACCGTCAAAATCGCAACAAGCGGAAATCGCCCTGACGGCAGAGATGCGCTCCAGGCACCATACAGTAGACATGCTGCTGATACGACCCGACAGGGATAAGTCCGTAGAGAAAGCCTGCGCTAAGGTGGGGTACGACGGGTGCCCTAAGATGGCGAAAAGGCCGCCGAGACACCCAACTCCTCACCGGGGTGGTCCCGGCTCCAGCGACTCCAGAAGCCGTCGTCGTCAAAAGGCCGGCACCGTAGGAATCTGAAACGGATTGCGAGCTTGCAGCATGTCCCAAAAGTGCCTCCCCTTACATCTTGCTCACCACCGCCACCGGAACTTTTCAAAATAAACACTGAACTTGAACTTGTTTATTTCAGCACTATTGTGCTTAGGGCACCAGACAAAAAGCTTCCACAAGGTGGCTTAACTAGGTCTGGTGCCTTTGTGCTTCCATTAGGACAGAGTTCCTGTAATGTCTTATGACGAGAGAACACTTCGGAACGCTGGCACCATCTATCAGGTAACCTGGAACTGCATTTTACTACATCGAAGGTTTTACGGTATTCGGGATATCAAATGCACATACTACAGCTACGAGAAATGGTCATTCATAACATTGTGAAAGGCTTTCGAGTCAAGAAAGAAAGAATGATGCGCGAAAAGAAAATATTGGGAATTGCCTAGCCACTGCTAAGCTTACCACTATCCATTACCCTGAGGGGTAAAGGATTTGGCCAGGGTTCTGGGTTTTGCAGGCGACGATAGAAGGACGGAAGAGAAAAGGGCTACAGTTACAAAGAGGCGATTACAAGATTGGTGGAAATTATTAAGCGAAAATTAATGCTGCACAACTAACTAGCACGGCTGGGGACAGGCAGAACAGAGGAAAATTGGGACCCCCTCCCGCGTGGCTCTGGCCCAAAGTCTCAACCCTGTCTCCCAGTGGATCTGGTGCTGAAGCAATGCCGACAAGGTTTGACCAGAGGAAAATTGGCGACTCCCTCGCTGATTTTCGAAAGAGGCAGGGGTGATGATTTTAGTCTCTTTTCCAATCCCCAGAAGGTTATCCTGGCGATATTCCACATTGTCTGGTGATAGTTAGGGGAAGAAAACTGGTCTTAGAAGGGGGGGGGGAATTATATGTTGGTCTTTTTAGACTCAAGCTAGGTGGCACAAACTACAGCCCATTACAAAGGGTGTAGCCATTAACATCCATTGGGCACCAAGCGTGCGATTGGATTCGAATCCTGATTGAACGGTGGCGCAGTGCTTGTCCTTGATACCAGGTGAGCCTAGTTAACCCGGAAAGCTAAAGCAGCCCTCGTGTCCAACACACACCGAGTGCGAGCCAAAACAATGGCGAACTCAGATAAGAGGCGCAGCAGTTACTATACTGTGCTTCGCAATAACTTGGCGAACTGTGAAGGCTTTGGCCACTGCAACCCAATAAGGATGACGGATCGGTGCAGTGACACGCACAACGCGTGCGTGTCACTGCACCGAATGCGAGGCCCAGAGAAACTGGCTGTCATCTACCGGTCAATAGTCGCCTGCTGCGAAACCAACCGATTTCGGAAAAGCGTCCACCTCTGCAACATTTCCGTCCACTAGAATGGCGAGCTCTCTGGGAACAGTTCACGAGAAAACCGTACGCTTGATTTACCCGTGAACCCGTGACAGGTGTAAATGACAGGCTGAGTGCGATGCTTTGAGCGGAAACGGCCGATTACGCAGCTGCGATCACCGACAGCCACGATGTTACGAGAAGAAAAAAATCAGGAGCGGATACAGACATGGCGTCACATTTTTGGTTTAAATATAATTGAAGCTCAGAAATTTGCAATTATTTATTTCATATTTTTCGTATCTTCAGGATAGAGATGGAATCGCACGAGTTCAATTCCTGTTAGAAGAGAAAGAAGTTTAGGACTATTTTTGGTCGCGGATGGTGCCGTTGCTGTGGCGGTAACAAAGCCCCAGTGGCCTTGACCACGGAGTGTTGTCACATGCCTTGCTCCGGAACCCTTATTGGGTCGCGGGGGCCACAGCCTCCACAGTTCACCAAATTATCATGAAATGAAGTCTAAACGGTGCACACTTTTGTAAGGGGTTTATAAGAAAGGCACAAAGGCCAGTCTAAGCTCTTCTTTCACACATACACCCTACTTAATGAGAGCTCATCAAAGGTCCTCATCTAATGAAGACCAGCACGCACTTGAGCAGGGAACGCAGGTCTCCCAAGTCGTTGTGCACGGGTGTCCCCGTGACGGCCCAGCGCGCGTGGGATGAGAGGGCTCGCACGGCCTTGGCTCTCCGGGTGCGCAGGTTGCGCACCACGTGCGCTTCGTCCAGGACGACGCGCTGCCACGACACTCCAAACAGGGCAGCGGGTCCCCGCACAGATGCCCCGGGCTTCACCGGGCCGTCTGCCGTCTCCGACTGCGTCCCGAGCGAGAAAAGTGGCTGTTCCAGGCAGCTGTACAATGTTGCCAGGAACGCATCTCCAACTGGTGTGTCTGGTGTCCTGCAGACCCTTCCCAAAATTCAGCCTGGCCCCTACGATCATTATCGTAGACTGAGGAATGGCAGATGTGCCATACTAATGGCTGCCTTGTGATCACTGTTAACGGGAGAAGCTGAAGATGTTCCGAAACGGACGATGCAAGGCCTATACATTCGAGACGTTAGTACGACGCCACGCAGAAGGGCCGCTTAAGTGTTCATTCTAACTCGGGTTCAGTCATTGCATGGCAGCACATAATCGGCTCTAAAGCCCGTTGACGTATAAAAGTTCATCATGGCGTCAATGTGAGTTGGTGTTTCGTTCTTACTGCTCGTATATTGTCACCACTGAAACTGAGAAATCCAGAAAGAATTGTAAGGTAAAGAATGCATACTTGTCTGTCGTCAACTAGCGAAAGCGACAACGCCCAGCAAGGTACTACAGACTGCGGGTCAATTACTGCCACAAGTATGGCAAACAGTAAACTGCTATCTGAACGACCAGATGGCACCAAATTTCGAAAGGGTCTATTCCTCTCATGCATCGGAAGTAATTCCGAAGCGCAGATGAATGAATGCTGTCGGAAAGGCCGGAGCATCAAGACATGGACGTTGCAATCCTGACGGCCGGCCGTGGAAAAGTTCCGGCAAAAATGCACGATGCGCATGACTCTACTCACGGCCTGCCGCCACTTGTCCCACTCGCTGCTCACAGTCTCGTAGCTCGTGACCACCAGGCGGTGGCGTGCCAGCTCGCTGGCGTGGGAAGCCCGGCCCTTGCCGTGGTGTACGTGCGCGCGCAAGGGGGGTGCCAGGTGCCGCTTGGCCTCCCCCGCCCACTGGTGCACCAGGGACACCGGGCACACCACCAGGGTGCCACCACCTACACCGGGGGGAACCACGACCAATCTAAGCTCGAGCAATCCGCGGTGGCGGGGGTTGTTTACTCAGCAACTGTCGTCGTACAGTGAGCGCATCGTCTGCAAAAGCTAACCTCTCATTACCTCTTCTTTTATTGTGCCATAAAAGCTCTCGTCCGTGTCTTTTCTACAGAATGTATCGTACTAAATCCATCCTTGAAGAAAAACTCCTCCCCAACCCCTCTTACATTTCTTTGAGATTGATCGTCGGTTCAAAGTTGGCATTCCTTGTTGTCAAACCTCGGCCCATAACAATTCTGTCATACCTATGGTACATCGTCAGAGTGGAACCAGATGCCCGCATCCCTAGTATCTGTACCCTCGTTAGATTTGTTTAGAACAGCCGCTAATAATCATTTTTGCGTGTCCCGCAACTGTGTTTTAGTCATATTTTATTTCAATGTGTTTAGTTACCTATTCTAATCTTTTACCCCTTCTTGGCCCTGCGGGTACCATGATAAACAAAGGAGAAGGTCCCCCATCTTCCCACGTAGTACAAGGTGCCTCAAAAACATAATTTATTGGGGTTTTTTTAGCACAAAATTAAACTACCGTAAAATCCCGAAAAGTCCCAGCAGAGACCATTTTGAACAAAGAAGTGGATTCCTAAAAATTGAGTTATCCTCTTCCACTGAAAAGAATAACTCGGGAGCCGCCTGCAAAAACTGGGCCTTGAAAAGATCTCCAACAGCCAAGTCCAATGTGCACATCAAAATATTGTCTACATACGTACGAGTTAGCATAACATTAGCAGAAAACAGAGAGGTCGATAATCCTTAGACATATTGCCACGCGCGTCGGCGAGTGAGCGCGTGCGTGGCCGAGCGGTTACCGCACTTGACTCTCGTGCGGCAGACCAGGGTTCAATTCCTGGGAGCGCAGCGTCTTTTATTTATTCTTTCAATTTAGATTTCTGGTACGTAATTTCGAGAACCGTGTTGCTCGTTTTAGGTTAGAATGTTCTACGCGCCGAATCTTCCAGGCCGATTGTTCCAGAAGTCCACGCACGTACAAAAGGGGCCCCGTGTAGCGAATTGGGTTCAGTCTCGCTCCAGCGCTCGATCCTGCTGCTTCGCCGACATCGACGTCTGCGACGCTAACCTTGTTTGTTTTGGGCACAAGTTCGCCTCATTAAACGTTTAGTTTCTTCAGTTATTCTTCGCCTCATCATTTGTCATTCGTGACAATACTTCAGGCAGGACAGGGGCTGTCTGGGAACCCGTGCAGATCCCACTTTTCCGCAAAAACAACTTCCCTCGAATGTTTGTGTCAGTAGTCCTTAAATAAAGCGCAACCAAATTAAAAAAACTCCCGAATGCTACTGAAACCACAGCAAATAATCCTCAAAAAACTCTCTTAGTCTCTGAAGCAGGTGTGCTCGAAAATAAATCTTTAGCTGCGTTTAGAGTTTCATGTCTGTCCGCCCTTTTTCGTCCCCTCGCTCCAGGGTTACCATGTCTACATTTCTTCTTGTACATCACAGTGCCTCTCAGCTCTTGCCCCTTTCCTGGGACACCTGCGGCCCCTTGGGCTTACCTGGAGGATCTCCGCTGCTTGCCTCCAGCTGCTTCTGGATCAGAGCCAGCACCGTGAGCGTCTTGCCCAGACCCATGGCGTCCGCTGCAGAGAGGGCACAAACACGTGCCACTGTTTCTTTCGCGGAACGGGCGTTAATCCCAGGGCCAGCTTGCTGGTGGACGCGGGAATCTCTGCCGGCAGCTAATATGGCCGCAAGGGAGATTTTCGGGTTGCACGACCGGTGCCGTGGGGAACAAGTACTACTAGCGTTCCAGCCGACTCTGTTTGGCAGACGTGAGCCCCGCCTGTCGTTTTCTTCAATTCTCGCTTAACACGAGCTTCCCCACAAACGATTTTACACGCCGCTCCTAAGGTAGACGAACGAGATTTGTTTTGCTGATGGCCCATTCACACGCTTGCATTTGCTAACGACCGGGTTCTTGCAATCTCTCGCGACGAGAGGACACGCTGCCACCATCTATGAAATAACCCTGAAACTGCATTTCAGCAAAGCAAAGCTTTTGTAATATTTGCAATATCAAATAGATGTACCATTTATAAGTACTGATTGTTTATAACATTGTCACAAACTTTTCAAGCAAAAAAAAAAAAGTGTGAAAAAAAAGGAAATATACTAAAATGCCGAGTGACCCATGGAAACCCAATAGATGATGTTGGCATGCTCTCTTGTCGTTAGAATGCCCAGATTGAAAAAAGAGTCCAACTGAAATTGTGGGGAGCGCTTTCAATTTAACTGCAGACGCCTCCTGCAACGATTGGTCGCAAGAGCGCACGCGCTGCATTGTCGGGAGTAAAGGTAGAGACGTTTGCAGACGACCAATGCGTTGGGCTACGCCTTGTGTTGCAAATGCGACCCATAAACCTAGTGACCCTGATCGAACAGTTGGAAACTCTTTGCAATACAGGCTTTCTACTCGTAAAATATTTTAAGGGGTTTTAAGGCACTCGGTCATAAGCAGTCGAGGATAAGTGAACCAGGCTTTACATCTCAAGCCCGTCCACCCTTTTTCTGCAAGCGAAATCGGACCTGAATAATCGAAGCGAGGATGGTCTTATGGCAGCCTTTTGGTATACCTTTAGTTTCTTGTGCCCACAGAGCTGGTCACGCAACTTCAAAAACTCTTTCGCGGCCATTTTAACCGTCGGAAGAGGTACTCGCGCTCAACGGCGAACTGGCTCGGGCGGCAAGTGAGGTTCTCTCCACAACACCCGCAGAAGTGGGCACCCAGCAAATGGGGAGAGGCCTTTTTATCAATTTATTCGATTAATTCTCAATTTTCTTTCCCCTTTGCTTTGGCATTTTGAATTTGACTGCCGTAAAATACTGGGGAAGCGCCCACCAAACATTCGCTGAAAGCTTTGTTAATCAAGACACACACGCTTGTCCGGTCAAATTGGGTGCTTAGCTTATAATTCGCAGACTTCCCAATTTTGAAAAATGTAAATACTGGGCACTAGCAGCCACACTTTAAAACGCGAAGAGTCGCATGCGGCTCGCGAGCCGCAGCTTGGCCACCCCTGGTCTATTGTCAAAGTGCCATGCTCGAAGGTCTGCGGAAGGGAGCAAAAGGGAGTCACCTACCCAGGATGCCCCCTCTGGGGTCCTGTGTCTCCCTCCAGAGCATCCAGCTCAGGGCCTGCTTCTGGTGGGGCATCAGAGGAGTGAGGACCCCTCTGGGCTGACCAGACTCCTCATCCTCCCCGGGACAGCTCTCCAGGCTCCTAGGGTGCCACAGAGCCAGAACCAGTTGAAGATGTATATATAGATACTGTATTATCCAGAGATGCCCCACCCATGAGCCAGAACCAGTTGAAGATGTATATATGTATTATCCAGAGATGCCCCACCCTTGAAAGATAGCCCACCCTTATTTTAATCATGATTTGCTATTCTCTTTTTTTCTAAACACTAAAAGATAGCTTACTTTTAGTGCTTGCAGGGCCCTGGCCAATGGTGATCTCGGCGAAAACGGTGTTACTTAACCAAGGCTAACATTGCTGAGTGGGAAGGTCGGTCGTCGTCTGGTTCATTGCCCCTCCCTGCGATTGCAGGTCTCGAGGTTTACAAAATCAAAATTAACATTTTTTCAACTTTCTTGGATCGCACACCGAAAGTTTGCGCACCCCTTATTTTCATCCGATTTGCCATGAATTTTAGGTGGGCTATCTCTCAAAATATTACGGTAGGCGAGAACATACAGCACGGTGAACGCTGCGGCATGATCGACCAGATAAAGTCCTATTTTTTATTTATTTATTTATAAATACCCTCAAGGCATGAAGCATTATAGAGGGGAGTGGTACAGCAAATACAATAAGTAAAACGGAATAATAATTGGGAAAGCATACACGAAAGAAAATAAAAAAAAAACAATGGTTACAAATGATTAATACACTTTGATACTATATAGTCCACTAGCCTGAAACCGGCAAACACAACGTCTTCTACTAATACAATTAAATTATCAATCAGATATATTTTTCAAGGCAGATTGAAACAAATCATAATTAGTAATAGTGGCTATCAGAGAGGGAAGGTGGTTCCAGTCACTAGACGTATGTGGGATGAAGGAATAAAAAAAGGAATTAGTGTTGCATGAAATGACTCCTACTTCATGTGGGTGATCCATCCGTGACGACATGTATGAAGGTGATGTTAACAGTTCACCGCGTAAAGTGGTGTGGTGGAAAATTTTATGGAACAAACAAAGTCGTGCGTTTTTGCGTCGTGACGCTAGGGAAGAAAGACCTAGGTTAGATTTCATGGAGGATACGCTAGCAGCTCGTTGGTAGTTAGAATATATAAATCGAACCGAGTTATTTTGAATCATTTCCAACTGATTAACGAGAGTTCTGATGCCAGGATCCCATATCGCTGAAGCATATTCTAGTTGTGAGCGCACAATTGTTTTGTAGAACGGTAATTTAATAGAAGTAGGGGCCGAGTAAAAGTTGCGTTTTAGGTACCCAAGCATACGGTTAGCCTTGTTAGTAATGGAGTCGATGTGAATTTGCCAGCTAAGATTAGAAGTAATATGGACGCCTAAATACTTGTATGATTCGACAGTTTCGAGTAGACTACTATCAAGGTGATATGAAGGTAAGTTAGCGGAACAAGGAGATTCACATGAATTTGCACTTGTTAACATTTAGTGTCATATGCCACGTTTTGCACCAAGAAGTGATAGCGTCAATATCAGATTGAAGTGCATGCACGTCATTGATAGAGGTTATTTCCCGGTAAAGAACACAATCATCTGCGAATAGATGAATCGAAGATGATACACAGTTTGGTAGATCGTTAATATAGACAAGGAAAAGTAATGGCCCAAGTACAGTACCTTGGGGTACGCCAGATATTACAGGGTGAAGGAGAGAGCTGACTTCATTCGCGGTTACAAATTGCTGACGATGTGTGAGAAAGCATTCAAGCCATTTTAGTATGTTAATATCAATACCTATTTTTTTTTAGTTTTAGTAGCAGGAGCTGGTGAGATACCTTATCAAATGCTTTCGCGAAATCCAGATATATACAGTCGGCGGATGATCGGTTATCGAGTATAGATTGCAACTTATGGGTGAATAAAGCCAGTTGTGTCTCGCACGAAAAAGATTAGCGAAAGCCGTGCTGTGCGCGGTGAAAAAAAGAATTTGATTCCAGATAGTTCGCGATATGGGAGAAAAGTATGTGTTCTAGAATTTTGCAAGGAACGCTAGTGATTGATATGGATCTGTAGTTGTAGGGTGAGTGCTTGTCGCCAGATTTGTGCACGGGAACCACCCTCCCTATTTTCCAGTCCTGCGGGAGCTCACCAGAATTGAGGGATTGCTGAAAAATTTTAGCGAGGGCGACAGAGGTATAGGCTTTCGTGTTTTTTAGGAACATGGGAGTAATACCAGAGGAGGAGAAAGGTTTGAGAGAGTCAATAATTTTGGCAACACTATCAGTCTCAATCTGCACAGGATACATGGGTAAATACTCAGGGTTACTAAATGAAGGCAAAACGTCAGAAAAAACACACGAAAAAGCGCTGGAAAACACGTTGTTAAGCGTATCTGAACACTGTTTGTCATCAATTGGTTCACCGTCCAAATTCGTTAGTACAATTCGCGAACTATCAGCCGGGTTCACTACATTCCAAAATTTTCTTGGATTGTTCAGCAACATATTTGGTAATGTGTTGGTTAGAAAATTTTCCTTCGCCGATTTGACTGCAGAATTATATTCATCAGCCGAGGTACGATATAGAGACCATCGATGTTGGTCACTAGACGTTTTTGCACTTCTACACATGCGTTTTTTTCGATTGGAAAGGCGCCTGATAAATGAATTATACCATGGTGCTTGCGGATTATAACAGATTACACGAACTGGAATAAAACGGATAGCAAGCTCTGTCATCTTCGTTTTTAGAAGCTTCCAATTATATTCAACTGAGCGTGCTTCGAACCCGTTTAGAAACGCTTGTAGAAATAAAAACAGTTCATCATTGATTTGGTTAAAGTCAGCATTAGGATAATTACGTATCACTTTAGTTCTATTAGAAAACTTTTTTACAGGAATAGTCACAGAAAAATTTAGTAGAGAGTGATCACTTATTTTCGGCATGTATGTTACTTCTGAGCATAACTCGGGACAAGTAGTTAATACCAAATCTAACAGGTTCGCACTTGTTGGTGTAACTCTGGTTGGTTCGGAAATAATCTGTGTAAAGTGAAAGTATGAACATAACTCGATAAATTCCTGGCAAACAGACGAGGACGAATTTAGTGAAGGGGGGGACGTTGGCCATTTGATTCCTGGATAATTAAAATCACCCAGCAAGAATACAGGGGATGTTGAGTACCGTGTGATAACGATGTTTATGGCATCATAGAGCTCAGTAACAAAGGTAGAGGAATCATTCGGGGGGCGATAGCAAACCCCGACAACCATTCTACAATGAGCTAGTCTTACAGACACCCATATAATCTCTAAGCATGACGCAATATGAAGTGCGAATGACTCAAATTCCTTTTTAATCGCTATTAGTACACCACCACCTTGCCTCGTTTCCCTATCTCGTCTGTAGAAATGAAATTGATTGGACAAATCGAATATTTCATTTTCACGAATGTTACTGTTAAGGGGGGACACTACCCAGAAAAAACAATTTCTGCAAAAAAAAGTTGATTTTGACAAATGTCATATTTACATCCACCAACATCCAGAGAGTATTCCCAGAAAGTTTCATTAGTTTACACTGCATAATTAATTTTGCATAAATTTTTTTTGGTCCACCAATGGTAAAGAAAAGGTAGAGGTTGGAGCACTTCAAATGCATTTTTCTCCATTCCAGTTTTTGGCAGAAATTTCACTTTAGGAAAACTATCGTTTTGGTGTTACGTAGCTTGGATGCACTTTTAGAAGTTTTTTTGGGGTGAAATTTTAAGGGGAAGATAACTATGAGCTTGTATTTTTTATTTTTGTCATTTTTCATACTCAATAACTAAACTTTTGGACAAAGGATGGAGATCTAAAAAACAGTATTTGTGTTTCTCTGGCTTTTCTGTCATGAAAGATGGCATAATATAGAAATATAGCTCCATAGTTATCTGCTCTGAACTGTTCTAAAGCAATATAACACATGGAAATGACAAATTTATAAGTAATTCCAAAACGATAGTTTTCCTACACAGACATGCCCACTTTCATCTTTGAACATTTGCAATTTTTTTTCTACATCGCCCAGGTTAACAATATTTGGCAGAAATGTTCTCAACGTTAAGAGAAACAAGCCCTGTAAATCTAATTTAAATCAAACAAGCGGTTCAAACATTCACTTTTTTGGGTAGTGTACCCCCTTAAGCCATGTCTCTGTTAACACGACAATATCGGCAGAGCAAGAATCAATAGCAGAAGAAATTTCGGTGCGGTTTCTGACAACGCTTCTGATATTAGTAAATAAAATAGAGACTTGTGATAAAGATGCACGATAACCACAGCCCCTCGGTAACCCCTACGTGTCTGACGTATCACGTTGCCTGGATGACGCAGCGTGTTGTCCCGAGGGCACAGTTGTTGGTGTATCGGTAGTAGCTGATTGTGATATCGGGATTCTTGACTCACAAATTTTATCGGAGACAGGGTCGTACGTGTATAATTTTCCATTAACGGACAGTTTGTTGTATTTCAGCTGGAAGGAGGGACTGTTAGGCATCGTTTTGGCAAATTCGGTCAGCTTCCTCCGTACTTCGCGCGTCGCGGGTGAAAAATCCTCAGTTACACTCACGTCGTGTTCTTTCAGTTTAGCTTTGGCCTGAAGTACCTTTTCTTTAGTTTTAAAACTAGAAAATTTTATTATTACGGGGCGGCACCTTGAGCCGGAAAATTTTCCTAAACGGTGAGCGCGTTCGATATCAACCGAGGCTAGCTGAATACCAAGCCAGTTGGACAACAAGTTTGATACCTTTTCTTCTGTTTGTGGCCACGTTTCCTGAATATCTGGAATTCCGTGGAAAATCAAATTGTCACGCCGTGACCTGTCCTCTAGTTCGTTAATACGAGCCTGCAATAATTGGTTTTGTCTTTGAAGACCTTCTACCGTGTTGGAAGTATTCCGCAAATCAACTTCAACACTATCTAGCATCTCTAGCTTCTCTTCGACAGCTGTTAATCTACCGCCTATATTTGTAAGCGTAGATTCAATGTTTTGTTGACTGTTTCTAATTTCAGTGATGCTTTGTTTTAATTCCTGATTACCTGTTGCTATTTCAGCTGATTGCTTTTGAAGATCGCGCAACATGCGCAAAATTTCTATGTTTTGCTCTGCCTGGGTCAGTGCAACCGCTCCCTCAGTATTATCTTCTGTCATACTAACCATGGGCTGGCTAGTAAGTACGAGCCTGAGCGGATCTAACCGATGGCGTTTCCGCTGTCCAAACAATGCAACCAAGTTAAAAGATAAAAAAATAAAGTCTTGTTTTTATCGCATTGAAAGCGCGCTCTTTCCACTTAAAGAGTCCGCTCCGAGCAGACGCTTTGATGGCACCTATCCTGCCCCAACGGCACGATATGCTGCTTTGAGTATCGTGCCGTTTAGGGTCAATGACGGAGCTATGTTTAGGCAACACACATAGGGCAAGTGCCAAGTTCTACATGATGCAGCACACCCAGAAAAGGACTTTAAAAAAAAGCATGCCCTCCCTTGAGAAGCATGGGAAACCGGGCTCACAACAGGCAACCATGAGGCAATCATGGAAGAGTCGTCTGGTGGTGCCGCTTGCAACCGAGGCGAGGAGAGAACTTTATCCGGCAGATGCAACACGTGTGGTGTCCAGAGTGTCGAACCGAAATTTTTATCGGTTCGGTTCTGGTTCGGGTTCACGGCTTTTTGTTCAGTTCCGGTTCAGTCCCGGGGAGCAAAAAATAATGGTTCGAACCGGTTTGAACCGCTTAATTGAGAATATATTTTCCACGTTGTTCAGGCCATAAACACTATTTACGCCGTGAAACGATTAACTATATAGTTTCTTCGATCGTCCGTGCAATTTACTTTTGTGTTTAGGTACCAAAAATATAAAATTCAGTTATTTAATTTCGACGCAAGAGTAGAAGCAAATCTACATTAACGCACATAACGTCGTGTTCATACGACTCGACATCTCTTTGCTTACCAGTAACATATATTTTAACTGAATCAAAATGTTTAAGTACAACAGTAAAGAGTTGAGCTTGTTGGTACATACCTGTAAATAGATCAGCTTGAAATTTAGAACTATACTGTATTTTCTTGTCCTTTCTTCGTGTTTAAGTAAAATTCTAAAGTTCAAGCAGATTTATTTACACGGCATAAAATATTGTCGCGAAGTGTGGTAGGTCGCCTAAAATACCTGTGATTGGTACAACTTTGTGTCACAGTATTAAAAGTGAAATCGTGATTGTGTCTTTGAACCAAGAAATTAAATACATCACATAAAATGATAAAATGAGCACCTCGTGGCCCTATATGTTACGCGATTGTTTACAAAATATGTTTCACAATATATATGTATAAGATGACGACACAACTGAGCTAAAAGCAATGGAGTTTTTAAAATGTCACAAAAGTTTTAGAATAATTCCTTTCAGACTATTTTTTATAGAAACACCGAGCGGCAATCAAAATGCTTGTTGTTCTAACCGAACATTGTTTACCCTCAGTACCGCATGCATGCGACTAATCATGCAGCAAAAAGTAATCGCAATTGTTCACTCTAATCTATACGCACCTTCGCACTCAGATCAAATCTGGCCCAAAATAGCGCTTGTCCAAGTGAACATTTTCTTATACAGGAGAAGCAGGCATAGCCTGGCTGTTGAGGTTTGTTCTTGACAAGATGCCGGTCAATTTAATTTGCAAATGAGCATCACCCTTGCTAATTGATGACTTCAACGCGACAGCGTTAAGGAGCTCATGTCGCAGAAAACCCGATGTCGGTGGCACGACTAGAAAATCTTGATTGGTCGATAGGGTGATGACGTCAGAGTTACATGCCCTCGCGCAAGAATTTCAAACAACCCACAATGCTCATGTGAAACGTGACATCACGCGTGGAATGAGTGTGATTAAAACATGACATGTAATGCGAATTAAAGGTTGCCATATGTCTCAAATGATTTAACTTTTTTAAAGTAATTCCTTTAGAATTAAGAATTTTAGGCGGAATTCGAACCCACGACCCTTCGGTTGCGAGTCAGACGCTTTTGACTAGGCCACGCGAGGCACGCTTTCGTGGCAAATGAGAATCGTTCAGCGGCGTAGACTTTCCATTTTCCCAGGGTGGGGGCAGGCTGAGAAGTTCTCCGGGGAGGGGGGCGGAAGGGGGGGGGGGGGGGTGCTGCTGCTGCTGCGCGTAACATTTTCGCCAGAACTGGAGATTGAGGCTAACGAAAGCACACTGGGATTCCATTTCCCATGTATTTTGTCAATAAAGGGAACGTGGGCATTATTTTGTTTACATGCCACTGCTAGAAGCTCGTTACATGACACATAAGCGTCTCGGTAAGGATCATGACCCGGATCTCACCAGGGAGAGCTTCTTTAAGCAAAATACAAAGGGGGTCGAAACTTGGGCAATAACTTGAAAACGACGCTCGCGTGAGCCTTACAGCGACTGCCAACGTTCGCTGTCCCTCTGAAGTCACTAAAATCTTTTTTTTTTTTTAGGTATTTGTTTTGTACACACATGTAGTTATATGTAACGTCATATTCATAAGTCGCACTTAGTCATTTCAATACTTCTATTCTCGGGGACATCTTTCGGATGCAGTTCAGCAACAACCGAAAAATGTTTGGGTGCCTCAATGATGTACAATTGGTCTCTCAACATTTTTTTGTACTATCAATAAATACTGTTAAGAAGTAACCACTGACGTTGATAGCTAGCGAAAACATCCATTAGTTTTCCCCCAATAACAGATGCAGAAAAAATAAAGGAAAGAGACAGCTGTCGATCCCCTCCTCAACTCGCAATTTGAACAAGCGGCCACGTGATCTGACGCTAATTATATACCGTCAGTGTTCATCATAGTCATGCCCTAGGCAGCTACGGTTTGGAAAGCAAAAGCTTGGGCTGAGCTTCAGATATTTTTAGAGTTGGGCTATTAACATATTTATTCAATTGACATGAGCCGTTACCCGAATGTTTGACGATGCTGACTGTCAAGAACCCAAGCACTCGACTAGGTGTTATGAAAATCGCTTACGTCACGGTGTCACGCGACTTTCGGTGCAAAATCATGATGTCATGTTACGTCACGCTGTCAACAAGGTTAATACATGTAGTGACTTCCTCAAATTAAATCGAGTCGACGCAGTAAGTCACCTGACGTCACGTGACATTACTTGACAACATGTATTGACACCATGACGTCACGTGACGTGACACATGGTTAATCATAGTGCCAATACAAAAGCGCCACCAAAACCCACAATTTACCATACGTTGCAATTCTGTATATGACAATTTGATCAATAGATAGAAATACAGCCGCCAATTTTTTATTCCCATATGTTCATTTTGTGATACTAACAAAAAATAAAAAAAAATAATTACTTTGACCTGTTTTGAACCGGTTACCGTTATATTTTTTTCGGTTCGGTTCCGGTTCAGTTCCAAGATGGCGGCGAAGATTTCGATTCGGTTCAGCTCCGGTTCGGCTAAAAATAACGGTTCTGTTCCGGTTCGGTTCTGGTTCGACACCCTGGTGGTGTCAACCCCCTACACCGTGTCTGCGGAACACTCACTCGAGGAAAGCACGCAGGTGCGGGGAGCTGGGGGGAGGGGAAGGCCGCCCCCTCGTACCCAGCGTTGCCTGCCCGCCCGCTTTTGTGTTTTTCGTTTCTTTTGCCAGGGGCAGAGGGGAAGTGAGCAGCACACCCTTGGTTCCGGCCTTCTGTGGCCTAACCTCTCCGGAGGGCGCATTAGTCGGCCTTGAGGCCTCTGCCGCCGTGGGATGCGCCGCCGGCTCTGCGTCTCTGCGCTCGCGGAGGGTTTCTGAAATTAAAAAAATTCATGCACCCTTATCTTACTTCTTTCTTTCCTTTGTTTATTCCTCTGGTTTCTTGCACAGTGTCTTCTTGTTTCTCCTCACTTTATTTTGCTACTCGTTTCCTCTTCTTTCTCTTTCCTTAATATATCTCAGTTGCGGGGATCAAACTAAGGGATTCTGGGTTCAAGGGGGGATCGGTGGCCTAGAGGGCTAGCACACGCCAGCTCAAAGCATGTGGAGTGAAAGCTCATGCTGCAGAATGCAGGGGTCCTGGGCTCAATCCCCACCCTTGCCCATCTCGATCTGGATCAGCATCGTGCCAGCATGCGGTCGTGTATCTCTAGTGCGTGATGCATGTTAAAGGCCTTAGGCTAGCAGTCATACTGCACTGGCTCAATTTCTCATCTACAGTGGTAAAGGCCCGTTCAAACACGTGCAACCGAGTACGACCGTGAAAGACAAGACCGGTTTTTAAGCCTCTTGTGACGTCTTAGGACAAGCTCCGCAGCAGCGCACCCGGTCCTAAGACGTCGCAAGAGGCTTAAAAACCGGTCTTCTCTCTCGGTCGTACTCGGTTGCAAGAGTGTGAACGATCCTTAACAATTGCCACGTTCAGACAGACTAACTGCCCGCTGTATAAACAACCAATTAATTACTTTTATTACTTCCTGGGTTCAATAGGGAATCGGTGGTCAAGCGCGTTAGAGGACTGCAGCTCTCCCAACAGCTGTTGGCAGTCATACCACGGTGCAGTGGACATTCTCACTGCCTAGTTGGTACCCTGCTCTAACACGAGCAAGGGTGCAACCAGAGTTTCCAGGCCATCCATCGACAATGTTTTAGAGCCGGTTAAAAAGAAACACGTGCCTGGGCTGCCGGCCTCCTGCCCTGCCCCGGCGAGATCCAGGCAGGAGAGCCGTTCCTCCAGCTCCTCTAGTTGCTGAACCAGCCGCGCCCCTCCATCTGGCAGGCAGCACTTTTTCACGGTGCCTAGGAGAAGCTGCAAAAGGAGTGTACTGTTGTCGGTACTCCATGGTTGGCTCTAACAGTGCCAACCAACCAGTTGCACAACGTCGGTACGGACAGTAGGCATCGATCCATTCTCTCGTTACGCTCAAAATAATTTTCTGGAGGACGGCAGCCGGTGAGCTACTAGACCCACTGGTAGTGCGAACTTGACCTTAGCACACTTTGGCAGTTTGCTGAAGTGGACGCCAAAACAGTACTGCCTAGGGTGGTGTTTAGGTGCGGCTGTAGTCACTGACGTGTCTTTTGAACGGCCGGCCTGCAGCACGCGCTTCGTGCCTTCCACTGCGCGTTAATTGCGCGCGCGCTCGAGATGTCGAAGCATTGTCGAAGGTAAGAAGCCGCACTGGACACGCTGAAGTTCGACAAGACCTTTAGCGTGGCAATGTGGCAGACGCGTCCTTGTTGGCGTCGCCATGAGTCGCGCTCGTTGCGAGCCACTGCAGGACGCGGCGATGCTGACGCAAAGTAGGCACCGCTGTGTGGGTCTACCCACCAACCTGCGTTGTTCAGCGCGGACCAGAACCAAAGTACGTATGTGTAGCTTCCCCAGGACTGGTGCGATCCACTTGCCTTCTTCTTTTGGATTTCTAGTCGTAGTGTTTCTCTGCTCAGCTGAGGTCGGTTCACGGGTGCAGCCGTCGAGGGCTGCACGGCGCCGCTGCCGTTCGGCCTGTTGGAACTCACTAGCTCATCGCTTTTCACGACGTCCCTCCCTTCAGAAAAAGGAGCGATGGACGCTGTAAAACAGTCCCTACCACTTGCTTTCATCCTAGAAGAGGAGTCGAGTTCAAGAAAGGCCTTCAAACATGGTGGACTTTTACGGGATTGCATTGGATTGGATACGGCCAGGCTCAGCCGCTCAGCGGTTCAGCTGGCTGAACCACTAACGTTATCGCGTTATCGGAAATGTGCTACCTACAAAAGGTACTACAAAAGCCTGAGGGGCTTTTGTAGTACCTTTTGAGAGGAGGTCGTGCTGGAAACTGGCGGAAAAATGGCGGCAAGATAGCTTGATCACCCAACGGCTTTACCCGAGCTTCACACTTCGTGCCATTCGACGGAAACCGATATGAGAATTATGTGAACTCGGACCGTCGGTTTTCTGGTTTTCTCCAATCGTTGGTTCTCTCCCAGAAGAAGTAAGGTGAAAACGTTTCAAGAAATGTCTCTAGGAGTTCCCCGTAGTATGCGCTTTATTCCGCGGACGGCACACAAAAACCGAAACTAAAATCGGACATGCGTGCATACAACAAAAACAAACAATATATTTTGTAACATAATCGTAAACCGTAAAAAAAAAGAAAAAATTTTTTCTCAAAGTTTATATACTATATAGTTCTGAATATAAATCTGATATTAAAAACAATTCCACTAAGGATACCAGCATAAGTAAAGTCATTATCATCCAATACAATCCAATAGAACTTCTAGTGGCTTGCTTGATCCAGATCTAACGTAAGCCAACGTTGAATCAAACTGTGGTTGAATCAAGGAGACAAGGAAACAAACACCCAACACTAGAGTTGTTTGTTTCCTTGTCTCGATGAGGTTTGATCATGTCTGTATCTTCTGGACAGCGACCGATTTCCTGGTACTTTTTCCCGACATGTTAGCCAGGTGCTTTATCGTTCAACTTGGCAGTTCTGTGCTCTAGGCAGTTCCTTTCTGCTCCTGTGCACAAAACAGCTCGCACCGTGCGCCAAACTCTGCTTCATTCGGCTGCGCCCTACACCGCCTACACTCGTGTCGACGGTGGGTGAGTGGAGGAACCACCTCATCGATTTATTTCTATTGCCGACAGGGCATCGGGAAAAAGATCCCCAGGTGATCAAAGTTAATCCTCTGTCATTTGCTGGGGCCCGTTAGCTGCCCTTCGTTTGTTTGGAAATTAAACCGGTAAAAGTTTATTTCGTGTTACCGACCTCGGTCGCTTTCAGCAGGTGCTGACGTCGTTTCCTCGCAGTATCGCGACCCGTCCGCGTGAACGACTGTACCCAACATTTTGGGCAGTTTGAATTGTTGGCACTTGCAGTGTTTCCGTTAGAAATCGCGAAGTGATCAGTTCATGGTCTCTGGAGGCTTAAATGACTCGGTGTGGATATCACCGACAGATTTTGAGTTGGGGCAATTAGGAAACAAATACTAAAAAATGAAATCACCCCTGTCTGCACTTGGGTTAGCATCACTGCAGACTTAAATCCAATTTAAAGTAAATGAATAAGGTGAGTGTATCAACTACTTTGTTTTAAAGTCATTTAGAAGAGAAAAAATATAACTAGTGAGACCTCAGCCACACAAGAGGCCTGGGGGGCTGTGTTTGACAAATGTTTCGTTTCTCCTAAAAAGAAACGGAAGTGACGAGGGTTAGAGCACTGATCTCTATTGTAGTCGGCTGGATTGCAGACCGCGGCCTCGGCAGCTAGGCCGAGTGTCGCCACCAGCGGCCATTGATTGACACCACGAAATGCATGGGGCTCTATGGGAAAAAGCAAGAAAAAGTGCCGTTTTCCCCGTTTCTAAGCTGTTGTCGGCACTGAAACTTTTTGGCTGCTTTTCAATAAGCCCGTCAATTAGCTTGGATACAAACATTAAAACTGACAGCCCTCGCAGTTCTTATAAATAAATATTATGTGGTCGAGAGTGTCTTCGCTGTAGTGCAGCTTAATGAGGTGAGAGTTACCTAGAGTTACAGCGAAGTTGGTGGTAATTTCGTTGAGTTGGGTTTAGCAGACGACAAGCTCGAAGGCTCTGCTACGTGGAATTCGCTCACTCTCGGAAAGCCATTATCGAGATGGAACTTCTTTGTCATTCATCGACTTCTGGGCTTCCCCGAGGATGGTTTCATCGACGGCAAGTTCCTTTGTTTACTCCACGACGAGAGCAAGCTTGCCAGCTCAGCCGTAGGTGCTCCGGTACGTTTCATTTATTTAATCGGTGTTCAAACGTTTGACAAATACCGATTCGATCTCCAAACACCCGACATAAGGATCGCAGCACACCATAAAATACTCGCCTCCGAGCACAGCATACATGCTTCAATGTTCTTATTTTTGTGCGTTTCTCCCATACACTCGCGTGTATTGCCTGGTGTCAGGCAATGGCCGCCGATGGCGACACCAACGGGCTCCCGATCCGCGATCCAGCCTACTACAATAGAGATCAGTGGGTTAGAGTATCAAATGACGAAAGAAGGAACTTTTGTCATTTGAGCCTCTAGCCAATCAGAGGCGATATCGTCACTTCCGTTTCTTTTTAGGAGAAACAAAACATTTGTCGAACATAGCCCCCCTGGTCAGCAGTTATTACATGAAATGTGCCTCCGTCTTTGCCTTGATTTTTTTTTTTTTTTCCTGTGTTTTTTGGAGCTTGTTTTTGTATAGTCGCCGGCCACATGAGCTTCCGCGGCCGAACACTGACCGGAGCAGCGCAAATCCCGCATGCGGCACGTCGAGCGTTGCCGCGTTTCTCTTTTGATGCTCCAGCATAGTAGTGTTGTGCGATAAATAGGTTTTCTCCCATGCATGAAACTTGGAAAGTCCATTAACAACTTGCAGGGCACAACCACTACCATCTCCGGACAGAATAAAATGTTGGTGCGGATTCTTGCCCTGGAAGTAACAATGTTGCTACGCCGACTTTATTTTACTCGGGAGAAGTCACAATTGTGATGGGGTTTGTAGACAGACTGCTTGCGAGCCGCCCCACACAGTATTTGTTTGGTTGTACAAAGTATTCGAATATGTGTTTCTGTGGTCATAAAATTATGTTGTTCTTTTATTCTGTTACTTGTAAAGGCCCATTCACACTCTTGAGACCAAGTAAGACCGAGAGAGACCAGACCGGTTTTTAAGCCTCTTGCGATCTCTTAAGACCAACTCCGCTGCAGCGCATCCGGTCCTAAGAAGTTGCAAGAGGCTTAAAAACCGGTCTGGTCTCTCTCAGTCTTATTCGGTCGCAAGAGTGTGAACGGCGCTTAATAATGGAGATGTGATGCAGACTGCAAATTGCCCTTAAAAATGTTGAGCTCTAGACCCGTTTTCACCTCAAGAACCGTAGTAAAACAAGTCCGGCTCCTTGCGGCGCAACACTAATTTTCCCATTTATGAGGAGCATTAAGACTTAAATAGGTGTATTTTAAACTGGATATGTGTTATCTTACCAAGACGTAAACGCCGAAAGCGTCGCTTCTTCCTCTGACAACCAAATCTTTAAGAACTACTTTGTGCGGCGTATGAACAATGCGCAAAACATCCTTTTTTCTTGAGGTGAGAACGAGTATAGTTTGTCAGTGCATGCAACAAAGAAGAAATTTTTTTTTTTTTTCACTGTATCTATTTCATGATAATTTTGGGGGATTTTGTTGGACATTTTGGTTTATTTCAGGTCTTTTGTGGGAGAATTTGAACTTGTGTTTTTGCATCTATGATGTAGGATCTAAAAGTTCTGGGATGGGTCCATTAATACAGAAGTTGTCAGAGATACAAAACTGAAAAACACATACACCTTCAAAATAAGCCCCCCCCCCCCCCCCCCCCCCCCCTCCTTGTAAAAGAAGATTTTTCTCAGAGGGTGTTGATCTTGTCCCAGCATTTCTGGAACCCATTCTTAACAATGTCCTTCAGTTCAACCAGTGATGTGTTTTTGGCTTTTTTTGTCCTTGAAAACCAACAGTTTTGATGTCTGCGTGCAATGTTGGGAAACAGTTGGAGGTTGGGGTGGTGAGTTAAAGGGATACTACAACGAAATTTTGGTGCTTACTTTTTGCTATATACGTGTTCAAAGGAGCAGTATCATATCGGGCTCACCAATATCTTTTAATATCTTTAAAAAAAGTTACGAAAAGGAATTTTAAAACAAATTGAACGATTAGGAAAGTGCACCTGGTGGATGTCGCTAAAGCCTTGTTTGTAAAGCCCATCTAGGAACCTTGACAGGTAGTGACGATAACTGTCTCGCCTAGAACTATACATGCTTTGAACCTGATGTCATCCCAACAGCTCTACTGCCAGCACAAGAGAAGAGGGGCGGGGAGGAACTCCCCACTCAATAAAACTCTCTTTTGTGTGTTTCAGACATCACTATTCTTCCTCTACAAGATTATAGAAGATTAACCTGTCACTCAAAATTCACACAAAAGCAGTTTTGCAGTTAGTTGCAGTGGCCCCATTGTTGGTGTGCTTCGACCGCTTCAGTAGCTGGAATGGCTAGGGCATCCTAACGACATCAGCCTTGACACAGCTTTACTTATCCTGAGATTGACTACATCACGGTTGCACCGGATGTGACATGCTCTCTGCTGGCTGCTCTCCAAGCGCTTGCCAGAGTGGGCCGTTTATAACGAAAAATACAGCCATCAGGCTCCAAATACAAACCTGCGATTGTCATTTACGGATATTGTGAATGTTATTCAGCCTATATCTGAACACGACGGGTATATTTAGGCTATCGTTGAAGTATCCGTTTAAAGGGGCACTAAAGAGGATTCTGTGATAATTTCTTCTTGGTCATAACTGCTTCTACGGGCCCTAAGCATCCTAAAAATTCAAAAATTACAATCATGCAATGCCGATCTCCTTAATAAAAGCATGATGAAAGGTCAGGACACACCTCTTTCTGAAAAGACTTTTCCGCTCAGGAACGGCGGAGCATACCCCAGTAACGGTATCAGCGCAGCTACGATGGGCGCCCAACAGCCAATCGCAAGCCGCCTTTCCTGAGCAGAAAATCTGCCTTGCCTTTTCTGACTGGAAAATCTGCTCAGAAAGTGGTGTGTCCCGACCTTTCAATATGTTTTTAATTAAAAATCAGCGTCGTGTTATTGTAATTTTTAGATTTTTAGGACGCTTAGGGCCCGTAGAATCAGTCATAACCAAGAACAGACGATCGCAGAATCCTCTTTAGTGCCCCTCTAAGGTGGGTATGATAAAAAAAACATTCTTGTTTTGCCGAAAGGGATAGGGAGCGTCTGGATTCCACACTATGCTTGTGGTTTTCGACTTCTCCCCTTCCATCTCTCGGTCGTCGAGGCCATTCGAAGGTGTATAACTTAGCTGCCCTCAATGTGTTGTAGATCTCCATAAGACTTCTGCCCATCTGAATCCAGAACGTAACCTTAGTGCACTACTCGGCAAACACAATTTTTTCCGGATTGCCGAGCAGTATACACTATGCTCGCAACACCTGTATGTACCGTAGCTACTGTGTGACCAACTTAAAGGAGTTTGCACCTTTGTACAGGGAGGTTATTTCTTAATACAATGGACAAATCACCGTGTTCCTTCTGCACACAAACATTCTCGTATGGGCCCAGACCCGGAAACTTTGGAAACTACCACATACATTGCCCTACTTTTTACGCAACGAAAGAGTATAGCTTTGTGGCAGGGGTGGCCAGAGTGACATCGGGTTAGAGCCACAGACAAAACTACAAAAGTTCAGAGAGCCACAGGAAAAGGAAAGGGGGGGTTACTTTTAACAAGAAGCGATAGGGAACAGTCCTTTCCAATACGGACAAGTATAATGTTTGACTGCAACAAATAGCACCAGGGAGTGGAATGCTTCTTCAACCGCTAAGCAAAAATGAATGCATGGTTTGCTAGTCAGCCATTGCCCCTGACGCCGTTATGCATACAGTAAAACCTCGTTATAACAAAGTTGAGGGAGTGGTCGTAATTATTTTGTTATAACCATTAGTTTGTTATAGCCAATGTCCATTTCTTCACTATTAGCAAGCAAGGGGAATTACGATTGCTTTGTTATATCGATTAGTTTGTTATATCCCATTTTGTTATAACGAGGTTTTACTGTATATGGTTTGAAATTCTTTCTAGAACAATAATGGAAACGGAATCACTAGATGCATCTACATGTCAAAAAGAAGTCCAGCTGTATGTATGTAGTGTAGTACAAGACTGACAAGAAAGCTTTTTTCTTAACATCTAGAACTCTTTTTGTCTTGGGAACACAGGAGGGGAAGGGGAGCATGTTTACCAGGGAGTCGTGAGCCACAATTGGACCGTCGAACAGCCGCATGCGGCTAGCAAGCCGCAGTCTGGGCCACCCCTGCTAATAACATTCAGACGCGTTTTTCTTTTTATGTTTTTATGTAATTTTCAGTCATCTTCACACTTTGCACTCAAGAATTTCTGCTCTTAATATAGACCCATTTCGAAATGATGCATAGATTATGTGGGACTGCCATTAGTTTGTCATGCGCTATGAGCACGCATTGGACCCGAGCGCTTTGTCAGCATTCGAAGTGTACTCAGACTGAAACACATTTTGTTCGAGTGCTGCATCAGTGTTTAACGCAAACTGGGAACCAATAACGGACTCCACGCCGGAGGCGATGAGACCAACTAATGGCGGCTGCACATAGACTATGCTTATTTACACCTTTTCAGAAAGGGTCTATTGTCCTATCGCAAATATACTTTAGAATATGTAGAATGCAACTGTCTAGGTTTGGTTACAATGTGTATCTTTTTATATTTATGAAAAACTCGAGCAACGTTTTTCAGTCCCTTCAAATGGCATTTTTGCTATTTTCAATTATTTTAAAATGAAAGAAGCATCACACACATTATTTCTGTTGTTCATTGCACTCAGTGGTTTAAAAGGAGCGAATTAGTTTATTTTACTAGGCATTTCTAAGAGTGGTGCCATGCCTCACGTGTGCACAAGAACATGTTTTTTTTTTTTTTCATGTATATTGGATCGAGAATATAGAAAACAAGCTATATCAAATCTAACTCCAGATTTATAAAAAGATTTAAGCGTCGTATCGTCGGAAAAGCCTACATGTAAAGTATTACGACGCAATTCCACTTCAACGTTTATTAAACTGGCCAACAAAGTCGGAGTGGGTCCACAGTCAGCAAAATCCACCCAATCCAGTGGGCGGAGCAGCGCAGTCAACATTGCTGTGTGGACACAGCCAACACTGTGCAGAATGTCAACAATTAGAAGAATTCTTTTGTTTGTTACTTACTCTTCGAGGCATGGGGTGTGGTGTGAGAGAAAAAAGTGTGTGGGGCAGAGAAGGAATAAAGCAAAGCAGATGACACTGCCACTACCCGACTGTGCGGGGTCAACGCTGCCACACCGTCCACCGCTTTTGTTGGTGACACAGCCGAAATCGCCGTACCACGCAATGTCTAGTAGTTTACGAGCAGAATCAATGTTGCCTGCCGAGAGCAGGGTTTCGGTTCACCTCGTGATTTTTTATTCAACGAGGTTTGCAAAAACACTAATTAACTTTTCAGAAAAAGAATGACATGGAACCGTTTATTAGTAGTTTTGTCACAATAATCACCCGCAATCCCAGAATTTCTGGAATTGCCCGGAGTTGCCCTTTAAAAACCTCAAAGGGCAACTCCGGCCAAAACTCGAAATGAAATAAATTACTGGTATCGCTGTAGTGACACGAAATACGACCCCAGCCAAAATATTACATCCGTTGGACGCCGCGTTCTCAACTAATGCCGATAACAAAAATGCGACTCGCTGCGAGCCGCTGCTCCTTAGCGGGCGGCCAGCGGGTTGCCGATCGCTAAAGCAACATTGGGCCGTGACGTCCGTAGTGTTCTCTTTTTTCCTCCGGTCCGGGCGTTGCACGAAGTGCGCTTCTTTGAGCTGCTACCACCGCTACTTCGGCTTGTGATTGGCGTGTTTAGCCGTTGCTTTTATCTGTAGCCCGTGTAGCTTCGGTATAGCCTTTTGTTTATTTGCCTTGTGAGGACTCCAAGACTCGTTTTAACGAGCGACTCGGTGCGCCCAAGACTGCCCAGCTGTTTCTCGAAAGATGCCGAGTGCAACTTGTAGCGCTGTGGGTTGCTCAAACAACCCGCTGTGCAACACGGAGGTGCTTTTTCACAAGTTTCCGACGGACCGAAAATTGGAGAAGGTGTGGGTGAACGCTGTTCGACGAGTGGACTTTGGACTTCGGTTTTTACGTGCCCGAGCAAAAAAGAACGAAAGAACAGACGTGTACAACCCAGCACACATCTGTTCGGGCGCCGCGGCCTGCGCCGGAGAGCCCCAAAGCTTCGTGTCTGGCACTGACCCGCAGCGCGAAAGCGAGAGGGCCCCCAGTACTGTACGTCACTGGCAGCGCGGTGTAAAGCAACGCCGCTCCATCCTCAGAGCCCAGATGACAATTTAGGCCTAGCGACGAGTACGGAAGACCGCAGGCACGGCGACAGTCGCCGAGTACGGCACCGTACGAGTTCACTCGTTTGCCACTCGCTATAGCTTTTGGGTATACAAGCGACGAGTATGGCATAGCGCACGCACGGCGTCGGCCGTCGAGTACGGCATCGAATAAGTTCACGGGTTTTCCAGTCGCTAGCTTTTGGGTATACGCACTAACTCTTGCTACATATGCTGGATAACTACCACATATACAGAATTAAAACAAAATCAGCTTAGCTCCTATCTTCAGACGGCTAGCGCAACGGAGGTATAGGTGCCGCTCGGCCTGCGTACTCGTTGAACGAGAACGATGTTGACGTCACGTTCACATAGCGGCTGATTTCCAGTGTTGCCGGGGCCTCGAGCGGCTCGTTTCGGTTCTGTTGGCCGCGCCCCAAACAAAACTTTGAGGCGTCAATATCTTTAAAACTACGCGCAATAACGAGAAAAAAATTACACCTTGCTATTCAGGGATGCTGACTGCACTAAAAACAGTCATAATCCCAAAATCGAAAGTATGGACCGGAGTTGCCCTTTAAGTAACAGCACACCAGTGGTTGTTCTGGACAGTAAACCCTCAGAAGAGGGCATTTGTAAAATATGTCTCTAACAGGGTAACTTGCATCTGCAAACGAACCATTAGTGACCTGACATGAAGTCTAGGTGTTTTCATTATAAATATTTAAAGTTTACATTGGTTTGACTGATAAGAAGGGAAACTTGCTTATTTTATTTGTATTTATTATTTTTATTTACATACTATTAGTCCAAGTTAAGGACTTTAATAGGAGGGGTAAATACATTTTTAAAAGCAATAATGGTACTTCTATACACTTTTGTGTATAGAAGTAACATTTGGCAAGTTGCTTTTTTCTTTGCTACCGTTGTAACCTGTAGACATTGCGAACACAGTGACACATTAATAAATTCACAATTTTTATTTGCAGGTCAGTCTCTCTTGCATTGTCTTGGACCAAATGCAGAGAATCCGCACATTGCTACGTAGAACGGAACGCCCACCAATCAAGCCAACTTCCGGCTGCTCTGATTCTTCGCATAGATTGTTTAATCACATAGATACGACATACTTGCATCATATCGGATGTTGCCATGCTCTGGCCAGTTGTGTCCAATTTATTGTCTGTTTTTCCAATCCCAAATAGCCGACCCACCTGATGCAATCCACTAATGTCACATCTCTGTAAACAAAACCAGTGTGGTGCAGTAGCCCTCTAAAGGACTTCCCTTAAATGACTTCCTCTAAAGAACATCCTTTTAAAAAACATATGCAAAGGAAAAACATTTTTTTTAAACAACTTGGATGAAAAATGATGTCATAAAATGAATTCACTTTGAAACAAAAATTGTTTTTAGATGTATAGGGTACCCCAAGTCACCAGGTTCAATCTAAAATGATCTGTAAATATCGACACTCTATGTAACGACCTAAACATTTTGTCAAAAGTGTATTTCACAGATCGTTTTTTTTTTTCTTTTTTGTAAAATTACAAAGCATAGGTTTCTTTTTGTAAAAAATACGGCCAGAAAACTTTGCCAGGGTCAACGGCGGGCGGCGATGCAGCCAACCAAGTCGAGTTACGGGGCGCGTTTGGCATGTGTATTGATAGATGGCGTTGGGAGCAGCGTCGGAAGGTGTAGCCGACCAGTGAAAGAAAGCAGACGACACGCAGATGAAATTTGTTGGCTGCAAAAGAGAAGTCGTTATGCAAACACATTTTTTAAACTTTTTGTTTTTATTGTTTTGCATTTACTTTTTAACCAAAAGGTACATTACAGAAAGATTATGTTCATTTTAATAAACAATGGTGGTCGCGAGCAGTCTTGATAAGGAGGTAGCACCATCTATCAATACAAGCGCCAAACGTGCCCCGCAACACGACTTAGTCGTCTGCGTCACCGCCTGCCATTGACCCTAGCAAGTTTCTTGGCCCAATACTTTACAGAAAGGGAGCTACGCTTTCTAATATTAAAAGAAAAAACCGACCTGTGAAATACACCTTTGACGAAAAGCTTAGGTTGCTACGTGTAGGCGTCGACTTTTACGGTCCATTTTAAGTCGAGCCTGGTGACTTGGGACACCCTACATATTTACGGCGCGATACTAATTTGCAGTTGGCGCCTGCAGGAGCCCATGGAAAAGTGACTACTAGAGTCACATGACTGGCCAGTATAGTCACGTGGTGCTTGCGCTCTTTCAGGAGCTCCCAATGGGTTCTAAATTTAATTATTAATCTTCATTTTAGGTGCAAAAAAAAATCAATAAGTAACTTTTAGAGCACATAGGAAGCTCCCAAAAGTGCAAGCACCTTTGCGCCAATCAAAAATGGGATGGCGGCGGCGTGCCAGGGTGTTCCCTTCCGATACTGTTGGTAAGTAATGATATTAATAATTACTTTTTTGCAAAATTTTTTTTTTTATTTGTTTAATTAAATAAGATTTGTGAAGATTTTTTTTTAACAGTATATTAAATTACTTTTTTTACATATAAAGAAAAAAAAATGCGATCAGATGGCAGCGGCGACGGGGGTTCTGGGGACTTCAGCGGTGGCGCTGAACGGCTCCGTCGTAACTTGCGGTGGTGGCGGCGCGCAGGTCTACCACGTGACTAGTGGTCAGTCGCGTGACTGCTATAGCCACTTTTCTACGGGTTCCCGCGGGCACCAACTACAAATTGTTTCGCACCATAAGTGTAGCTCTAAATCTTTTTTTTGTTGTTGTAAGTTTATTTTATGACATTTTTTTTCCATATATGCAGTTCAGAATTTTTTCTTTGCATGTTTTAAGAATGTTTTTTAAAGGAGTGCATCTTTTTTTTAGCAACCTCAGATAGGGACCTGTCATGAATTATATTGAGGGGTACATCCATGCCGGCCCAGTCTTTTAACAGGAAATGTGCTGACTTGTTTTGCATTGCCTCTAGTTATAATGTTTTTGTTTTATTTTTTCATTTTCTGTTGCTGTGTACAAAATTGTTCCACCATAATATCTTGAGAGATAGCCCACCTAAATCGACAGCAAATCGGATAAAAACTAGAGATGGGCTAACTTTCGGCGAGCCATAAAAAGAAAAGGGTTAAAAAAATGCTAATTTTAGATTTTGTGACCCTCAAAACTTGTGGTCCCTGGAAGGGGCAGTGAACGAAAAACTGTCCTTCCCAGTCATTACTGTTCGCTTGTTTCCTGCCGTTGTTAAGTAACACTGTTTTTGCCGAGGTCACCCTTGCCCAGGTCCCCTCTAATCACAAGAAGTGGCCTATCTTTCGGTGCTTCAGGAAAAATAGCTAATCATGCCGAAGATAGGAATGCGCTATCTTTTGGGGGTGGGGCATCTCTCGGAATATTATGGTATATATTCAGTGATGATGCCATTTGTTCTGTTCATGCTTTCCCGGCTTTACCCCTTTGGGGTTTAAATGTTTCGTTTCTTGCACTGTTAGATATTCTCAAACACCACCAGTGTCTTGGTTAGCTGAAGTTGGCTTTAAATCTGGACTGTGCTGTGTGCTGTACCATTGCATTGAGATCTGCCACGCTTGTCTATTCAGCCTCTTCTAACCTTGTGGTAAAAATCGGGCCATTTTTTCGAAGAAAATCTAGGGAACATACAGGTTAGGGAGGACTTCCTCACTGTAGGCCAATTTTTTTTCATGACCAGTTCTTTGCAACCATCCCTCTTTCCACCAATGTAACAGCATTAGGACTGAGTGTGGTCAAGGCATGAAAAATTACAACTGCTCTCTCCTTCAAACCAGTCTGCCACACTAGATTCAGTCCACTATTGCAGTGTTCATGTGAATGAAACCAGTTTGAGACTGCTGTGTTAAAATCGTTGTTTTCTTTTAGCCTAGTGGCCTGTAGCTCTCAACACATGATTCAGCTATATGTTTTTAGTAGTGTATAACATGTTGCTATGAGGCTGCAACCACTATTTCAATGCCAGCTCACTTGTTGGGTGATGGGAGAATGGAGGTAGAAACTGTAGATTTCGAGTATTCATCAAGCATGAAATGGGAAAGTTAGCTAAATGTTTCAAAGTCTGTAGGCAGTGAATGTCTGAGTTTTATTTAGTTTTAGTAGGGAGAAGGCATTGCACACTTAAAGGGGCACTTACAGGTCAAAGTCATATTTTTTTTTATTATTTGAAACAATTGAAAACAATGCCTGGACATTACCCTCAAAATTCAAAACTTTGGAACTCATTTGAATAGGGTCAGCTGAACACTTACAAACTTGGGAACTCAGTATTTATGAAGTAAAAAAATACAATTCCCAAAAGCCGAGTTTGAAGTTCCCATGTCGTCCGCGCCACTGCAGTGATGTCAAAGATTGAGTTGTCCTGCAACTCACGTTTCTCTCACGGCTCCGAACCGACCCGACCCGGAGAGTCATGTTCGCCCGTGTCTCGCTATCAACTGCTCTTCTGCTTGCCAGACGCTTATCGCTGTGAGCAGACGAAGCTTCACTTCAGAGTTTGCAGTTCATTTAGGGCCCTCTCAGCAATCTCAAATTTTCTGAAACAGTGTGAGGTCGAAGAGAGCGCACAGTGGACTTTTGTGAGTAATGCGAGGTGCCACATTGCACCAGTTGGCTGTTGCACAGCCGAAATTACTGTACACAGACACCAAACCGTTTGACGATTTCCTTTTCGAAGTCCGAGAGGTCGTTGGGTGTTACATGTGTCGTGCATTGCCAGGTTTTCCGAGGGAGGATAAAAAGCCAGGAGGCGACATCAAACATCATTCCGGACTCTGATTTTCGGTATATCAAAAAGAAGGGCCGTAATGCATTCGCAATTGCGTTAAAAAATATGTTTCACGAATGCCATAGTTAAATATTACAGAAATTTCGCTTACAAAGCTACTAAATTTCATAATCTATTATGTCAGAAATAAAAAGATGCGAGGGGGTGAGAAGAGAGAGAGAAGTGCGACAAAGATAAAAAGGGGTGCGCGCGCGTGGGGAAATTTTTTTTCGCATTGTGGTATCTCTACAGCTTGCATAGTTTTAGACAACAAATAGAATATGACCTTTGGCGTGTCAGTGCCCCTTTAAAGCATTCTACGTATTGAATCTGCTGTCGTTAAAGGGGCTATGCGACAATATTAACTTCAAAAGAATTTGCAGTTTTAACTTTTTAAATTGTTTATCTTACCAAAAGGAACCGAGAAACCGCCTTATTCTTTTGAAATATTGTGATTCCATTGCATAATAGCTAAGAAAAAAACGGGAATATTTCGCGATTCGCAGCCGTGCGGTGGTTGCCACGGGAACTAAGGCGACATGTGCAATGGGTATAATGTAATAGGTTGGCAATATGTGCCATTATGTGCTCAATCTAATGCCATATTTGATAAATATTGTCGTTTCAACATGAGTAAATATGTCAAAAACTTCATGTCATCGCCAAAGTTGTACTATATTCAGTTTTGGTGGCGCCATCTGCGCGAGGTGAAACTATTCCTCCCTTGAGCCTCACCTCCTTGTGCTATTACGTCAATCAAACTTCCTTACAAAAAGGCAAGCTCTTTGCTCTCCCCCTCCCCACATCGCTCAGAGTCTCAGACCAATTTTCAAGGTCGCCATGTGAATAACAAGCCTGCGCACGCTGAAGGCTTTGAAAGAGATTCCAACCAAATACTCTCTATCTCCATTGCGCGTCACTACACACCTGACTTGGAAGAAGGTGTGAAGAGTTGAGGGTAGTTTGGAGGCATTCAGAATGTCAATTGCTTAACTTTTTTTTTCTAAAGAACACATGCGCACAGGCAAATTTACTTTTCCATTCTTTAAATCATACATGACAGGGAGCAACTACCACAATAATTTACCGAAGTCCTAACATTGTTGCACGGCCCCTTAAGGGGGACATGGACCTAAATTTCAAATGTTTTGGGGGAAATTCATTTTTCAATTTTTGAGGTTTTCGGTTTTAGAAACAAATTATACACTCGTACACTAAATTTGATAACCATCTGCCAAATAGCTTAGTTGATATAAATTATTTTCTACCCATTGTAAGGCAGTAACAAAGCCAAGGAGTTCAATGTCTGAATGCATTTTTCTCAGTTCCCCTTCTCACTGTAAATTTCACATGAAGGAATCTTTTGTTTGAAGGTAAAAGTATCCCTATACCACAATTAAGATGTTTCTGAACTGAAATTTCCTGGGGAATCGGGCTATCTACTTTATTTTGTTTCAAGTTAAAGTCCTCATTGAGAAAAAACTTTTAAAAAATTGACATAAGACAGATATGCGTCTCATATATTGACGTAATAACTGTTCTTGAAATATTTACATTTGAGTTATAAAAACTAGATAGTTCGAAGTCTCACATCGCCCACTTTATATTCAAGCAGTCAAAGTGGTGCCTAATAGCTTCATTTGCATATCATGGATTTCTTAACGAAGAGTGACACATCTTGATATGTAGGTATATTAAATAGTCCAAGAGAGCTGAAAGTTTGCACAATACACATGCACCCGATGTTAAATCTCCCCTGAAAATTTCGTTCCGATCACAAGAGTAGTTCAGAAATTAAATCTCTAACCAGTGTGACACCTTAAAGAGAAGCTGAACTTGCACAAACACATTTTTTAGGTGCCTGGATTGGCTACGTACACAGAAAATGTACTTTTTCTGAAAAAAATTTAATGCAATATTTATGTTGCTAGACATCTTTGGAGTTCCTAACAATTCAGAAACTTGGTTTGCTTTCGAGACGTTGGCCCTAAAACAAAAGCATGTTTCGGAATTGCTCTTAACTCAGAATGAGTCTAATGGCAAAAATATTGTGCTAAGTTTTTTTTGAAAAAGTCTGTTTTGTGACGTGTCCTATCCAAGCACTAAAAGGACATTATTTTTTGGGGAGTGTGACGTCCATTAAAGTGAGTGACCACCTCCCTCCACACCAGTGTTGATGATTAGGTACACGTTGGTGCTTGAGCTGCTGTTCTTTGTAAAAGAAAAGCCTGTTAAATACAATTTGGCTTGTTTCCCTCGCAGGGCCTGTCCCGAGAGCCAGTAAAGTCGAAGAAGAGGCCCCTGGCCGTGAAGACGCTGAGGGCACACACTCTTCTGCGGACGACTTGTTCGCCGTGTGGCAGCAGATGGTGCCCCCGCATCGAAAGAAGTATGAGTGCCGGTTTTGCCCTCTCTCCTTCTCTGAGAGGATAGGCATTAGGAGGCATGAAAGGACGCACACGGGCGAAAAGCCCTTTAGCTGCACCGTTTGCCACAAAGTATTTGCACAGAAGGGTAACCTCCAGTCTCACGAGAGGATTCACACGGGTGAAAAGCCGTTCAGGTGCCAGACTTGCCCGAAGGTGTTTGCACACCAAAGTACCCTGCAGTCTCACGTAAGGATCCATACGGGGGAAAGGCCGTTCAGGTGCCAGACTTGCCAAATGGTGTTTGCGAATAGCGGGGACTTGGTGCGTCACAGAAAAGTCCACACGGACGACAAACCGTACAGGTGCGGAACTTGTGGGGCCGCGTTTCAGCGGCGGTTCCAGTTGACGTGTCACGAGGGACTTCACGGTGGAGACCCGCCATTTCGTTGCAAGCTGTGTGGAGAAAAGTTTGTGCAGAAATCTTTTTTAAATGCCCATCAGAAGGAGCATCATCCGTGAGGGACATCCATTGTATAGTAAAGGGTGGTGGAGCTTGACGTGTTTGTACAGTGTCGTTTTACCCTTTTATTCGAGACTATCTTGGATAGACCACCTGTTTAGCGATCGCTTATTCATGAATCGTCTATGAACTACCAATACTCGCCGCCATTTAACACTTCGGGTGTCAGGACTGCAAAGTGAACCACCACTAATAGAGAACCCTTCAGTCTCCATTGCAACAAGCATATAGACCCTTTCAGGCGACATTTCAAGGGCTCCGCCATCTTGACGTCACGTGACCCTGCCGCCATAGCCGCCCTTCAGTTTCTCGCCGTTCCTCCGCGTTGTGTGCTGCACCGGCCACTACCGGAACTTTGTTTTCGCGTTCTTTTACGGTCCGCGTTGAAATCGTGTGTTTTCTTTATGTCTTTTCGATATTTTGGGCTTTCATTTAATCCTTTGATATCTATATTTCAACATAGCTCTTGTATTTTCTTATTTATAAAATGGAATCGGACAGTGAATGGATCGACGATACAGGATTATGGCTTCAGAGACCATGTAAGTTAATCTCATTCTAGCGTTTTTCTCGCTAATAAAGGGCAGTCAACACCACTGCGACATAAGCAAATTTCAACTGACGCAGTAAGGCAATCCAGTCGTGCTTCTTGCTGCATGTGCGCGCTCGTTTCCGTAAAGCCGACCCGTATGTAAGCGATTTTGCATGTGACGAGATGACCGACAGCGACAACGACGAGAGTCAGCGACGAAGATTTCTCTCCGTTGCCTGTTGCATAGCTCGGTTTTTTGGGTTTCTAGAAAACGTCGCTCACCGTCTTGGTCGCTTTCTCCCGTCGCTTGCATGCGGTTTGCCTCGTCGCGCGACTGCTCGAGCGACAGCGAAGCGGGTCACCGTCGCTTGCATGCGGTTTATACTTAATATCGAGGCGCCAATGGTTCAATGCTGTGTGCATGCAAATTAACTGAGTATAAACCGCATGTAAGCGATTTGGCAAGCGACCAGATAAGTGACGGCGACCCACTTCGCTGTCGCTCAGTCGCGCGACGATGCAAACCGCATGGAAGCGACGGAGCAAGCGACCAAGATGGTGAGCGACGTTTTCTAGAAATCCCAAAACCGAGCGATGCGACGGGCGACGGTGAGAAATCTCTGTCGCTCGTCTCGTCGCACGCTAAATCGCTTACATGCGGGTCGGCTCTACGGAAACGAGCATGCGCATGCAGCGAGAAGCACGACTGTGATAGCCTTATTGCGTCAGTTGCAATTTACGTATGTCGAAATAGTCTTGACTGCCCTTTATTAGCGACAAAAACATAAAAATGGGATGAACTTGGTCATTGAAGCCTCATAATCTTGTATCGTCGACCCATTCGCTGTCCGATTCCATTCCACAAATAAGAAAATACAAGAGCTATGTTGAAATATAAATATCAAATGATTAAATGAATGTCCTAAATATCGAAAAGACCGAAAGAAAATACAAGATTTCAACGCGGAACGTAAAAGAACACGAAAACGAAGCTCCGGTGGTGGCCTGTGCAGCACACAACGCGGAGCAACGGCGAGAAACTGTAGGTCACCTATGGCGGCTCGAAAAGCGCGCGAAGGGCGCGCCGACTGGTGGCAGCTCAAGTAACTGACTCGCTGAAAGCGTCTATACCATATTTTCTGGTATATAAATCACACCTGTGGATTAGTCGCGCTGCACTAGAAAAACAGCTGTTTTCATTAAAGCTTTGCTATATAGGCCGCACCTTTATACCAGTTGCACCTATATATTTGCATGACCGGCACGGCAAAGATTAATTGGAAAGACTGCATATGTGTGTTATGATTGCAGTATATGTGCTAGCGAGAGAAAGTTTCAATATTCTCGAATTGAACAAGAATTATAACTCCTCTGGCAAATTTTCATAGTTAAAGCTCATGGGTTTAGAAAATATTCCATATAAGTTGCATCATTGTATAAAATGCACCGATTAAAATTTTTTAAAAGCAAAAAGCGATTCGCACTAGGTAGTACGGTAGGTGAATTTTTGTCTTGCCATGCCTTAGAGTGCTTTACTTTCCACCATTCCTGAAACTTCAAGTTTAACACATTTTGTGACACTGTACTCAAGCAGCTAGGCACCTGCTGAAGCAAATGTAGAGCATGAAATAAAACCAGAACTTTCCATAAAATATTTTGAAACCAGATATTTCTGTGCAGCATGTAGTCTTCGACCAGTTCTCTCCACAATTCCTTCAGCATAATGTCATTCAAGTAACTATACTATTTGATTATCTGAACTAAGCTCTGGCACTTAAAATTCATTCACCAATGTAAATGATTCTCCCCCTAAGTATGCTTAATGTGCACTTGTGTTGTATTTCTTGCATTGGGTTGTTTTTCTTTTTCATAACTTTTTGTATGTTAATGTAATGCTTTGTGTTAATGTTTTGCATGCCACACAGCAGATCAGCAGAGGTCTGTGTTCATGAAAAACAGCAAGTAATTATTGTCTTTGTATTCCTTGTTGATCTTTAATTTGTGGCATAAACCTCCTCCCGGCACAGGAATGTGCTAAGACAATTTATGAACTATGACAAGCAAACAATTATACTTGTTTGTAGGCGTATCGTTACCCCGTTTTACACATTGCAGGGAAATACTTTGTGTTTTGTAACTTAACTACTAAACTCTGAACATATGGGTTTTATCAAGACCATACATTTCAGTATGCATCGATTACCATCACAAACATGTCGTTCAGCCCTGTCAAACAAAATATTTGTCATGCTCGTTTCATTCGCAGCTGTTCTAAAACATGGCTCCACCTGGCCGTAGCCAAATCCCTGTTAACTCAAAGTTTTGAGCTGCCGAAACTAAGTTTTTTTGTAACATGTACAGTTGTGTTTATTTCTGTTGACGTTACCGTGGTCTTTTTTTATATACTATATATATATATATATATATTCTTACGTAACCCAGCACACTCCTGTGTAATGCCTTTGGACCTGAATACAACCCTGCATTTGTCCAATTTTACCCTGTCCCTGTGTTGTTTTTTTTTAATTGGAACACCATGCATTATTTAGTTAAAGTCTATACATTTTGAAAAACAGCGCGAATACCACACGGACAAGAAGGAGGAACACACAGGACGAGGCGCTGTGTTCTTCCTTCTTGTCCGTGTGGTATTCGCGCTGTTTTTCAAAATGAATTCATACCAACTCGCCCAACTTTCCATTCTAGTAAAGTCTATACATTGCTGCAACCAAATACTACAGCATCAGTATTTTCTTTCCCATTGTGATAGTTCTTTTTCAAAAGAGACGAGCCACTCCCACAACCAGGTTGTGCACAGGAGGCAGCGTGCCAGCCGTCTAGATTGCAGCATGGTAAATGGGGTACTGCATGGTCACGACTCCAGGACGTTGTCTTTTGGTGTTGAAAAAGGTCAAGGGCACATCACGGTTGGAGGGTTTCGTTTGCCGATTCCTGCAGATTTTTGTTGTGACGGGAGGTGCGGTCCTCTTTGGTCTGGATCAAGAAACGACAACGACGGACTGGAGCATTTGAGGCGGTCCACTTTTTTTTCACGAGACTTTCATCGCACCATCACGTCTTAGATGGGGAGTTTGAACAAGGACCTAGGAGTTCACAGCACAAAGGCACCACTGTGCCGTCCCAACTAATGTTGGTTTGTCTATTCTCACTGACGTCAGCTTATCCCTACTAAGGTCAGTTGTAGGTCGGGGCCCATCCCTGACTAACAACTCACGAGGTAGAAGACTAGTGTGTGCAAATGCACCCACTTTTTTGCACAAACTCGTGTCCCGAAGCGGTTCCACAACTAGCGCTTGAGAGAACTATACGGCGAGCAAGTGTTGTAAAATCCGTCTTTGGCACATCAGAATGTGAAGAGTGGCACGTCAATCAAAGGGCAACATAGATAATGCGTAGATAAGGCACGCTCACGCAGCAGCCTTGCTCGTGTCATTATAGGCTGAGGTCATGATAAACAAACTCACGTGGGCACATTTGGTGGTAAACAAACAGAAGGTGTGCGAGGTGCACACCAACTTGCACGCCATGTATGAAGCTCAAGTCAGTCATTCTATCCCATGGAGACGCATGTGCCGGTGCCTTTTCCGTGACAGTTTCGGCGAAGGAATTGTTCTGCTACTTGTTTGCCAATTCATTTTTGAAGCTCTTCTTTCTTTTTCGTTTCTTTCTTTTACATAAAGTTTAGTAACATTTATTTTACCTCATATTTATTTATAGTAATTTTTATTCCAGATTCATAGCTCTTTTGTCTTCTTCCTCGTTTGTTTCCTTCTACACCTCCCCCTTACATTTTTTTTTTTGTGCTCCTTATTCTTGCGTATTAAAACGTCAGTTGTTAGTCAGCGCCCATCCTGTCAACTTCTGCTAGTCCTCGTCTTCAGTGCTGTCTGTGTTCATAATGTTTAGCCAACTAGCCCAAAAGTTTGTTTTGATAAAGGCACCTGTTTCGGAAGCTAAAGCTAAGGCTTTTCGTGGGTACTCGGAAGGAGGTTTCGCTCGACGTGTGTTCACACGGAAGCAGGGGTGCTGTGGTCAATGAGAGAACAGTGTGACTCCATGGGAAAGGAACACGGCGTTGCGTGACGAGACGGCGGTGTCGTAATGCAATGTGGCCTAGAAAGCGAGTACAACACGAGAAAGGCCTACAGGTCGCCTTCAGGAAGCACGCGGCAGCATAGAAGCAATGATGGAGCAGAGGCATATCATAAAATACCGAGCAAGCACCCACCGTATTTGGAGGTTACCGGGGCAGGCTTCTTGGGTCCAAGAGCAAAAAAGCAGAGAAGCACATGGAGGGGGAGGCTTCACCGCTCTGCACCGTAGAGCTCACAGAAGCAGCTGACGAGGAGGAGCATCTCAGTTAGCCAGGTGGGCTCGGGATGGGTGGGCACTTGATATGTCTTTTGCCTTTTTTTTAAGCGTTTCAGAAGTAGCGTGTGGAAACTCATTGTGATATGGGCACATGCTTGATAATTTACTGTGGGCCAAGCTGGTTCCAGAAGGGAGCGCTTACTAGAATGGATTTTGGATATTATTACCTGCTCCGTGATGTGCTAAGGAGCATCGTAGTAATAATTGGTTCAGGAGTGTAGCAGACTTTGGTCGAGATTATTGTGCATTCCATGATTCCACCTAGGGCACCATGGTAACAATTTATTAGTAAGAATCAAGTAAGAGTGTTGGTGAGGTTCATATAAACACAATAGTGAACATATACATGTTTATTCTTTTGTGTGTATATAAT